CAGGGGCTCTCAAGCGTTAGCTCTCCAGGCGCCCTCCGGGCGCTCCCACAAGCGCTCCCACGCGCTCCACCGAAGGCCCTCGTGGCTGTGATCACATGCGCCTCCCCCGACCCACTTCGGCACGCCCCTCGCGCGGTTCGCGGCCTGCCTCCAGGGAGCTCCACGGAAGGCCTCACGACGGTGTCCACATGCTCCCCCCTGCTCCTGGCGGCATACCCCTCATACCAGCAGGAGCGCCAGGGCCTTCACCATGCCACCCGGGACGAGACACCCGCCCGCGGGGTGGAGTCGAGAGGTCCGGGGGCCCACGTCACGAACAGAACCATCACTTCGGGCACATTCTGACCTTCGGGGCAGCTTCTCGTGGCCGCGGCCTGATCCGACTCGAAACTCTGGCCAGGGCGCGCCCCTGGGCAGGCCCCCTGCCGAATGGACGGTCACCGCTCGGGCTCCGAGACTGAAGGGGCCCTGGTACACACAAATAAATACACACGAATAAAAGGACCCCCTATATCTTCTCATATATTTTCGGGGTTTTCGTCTTCCCCCCACGTCCCATCTTTTCCTACATCTTCCTGGGGATCGACGATTAGTTGTGTCTGTGTTCTTTTCCCCTCCTGAGAGACCCGTGGGCCGCCCCGCAGGCACTGCTGGCTCCTGGCCCTGGGGCCCTGAGGACACGGCGCGGGGCGACAAGCTGGCGACGGGGAAGGGGCCGAGATCCGATCCGGGCGAGAGGTCGGCTATGCGCAGGAGTGGCCCGTGGGCAAGAGTGACCTTTGGTGCGCGGCTTCTGGGGGGCCGCCGCGGGGACCAAGCCTGGGCGCGCAAGCAGCTGCTGCTGTTTCGTTTTCAGCGATCTGGGGACCCATCTGTGCCCGCACCAAAGGTCACTCCGGCGAAAGGTCACTCTTACGTCTAGTCGAGAAGGGGGGGGATAGCAAAAGGGGGGGGGGGTGAGGATCAGCTCACGTAGCTGATTTTCCTGGCGCCTCCCGGCGTCGGAGGCGGCCATGTATCGAGGAGTGGGCCCCTCGGTGGGGCCGAAACCAGCTGCATGCCGCAGATTGCGTACCCCCCCCCCTTTCCCGATCCCCCCCTTTTTCGTCCGGCCCGAGAGATTCGGGGCGGCCCACGTCACGAGCAAACTGCGACGAGGGAGGAGAGGGTCGGAGGGAACGGGGTCCTGAGTAGGGAAACGAACTCTATACACCGACGCGTTTTCCGACCCTGCGCTGAAACTCACACAGGAACGCGGATCCTGGTGTATACGGGATACTGGTGTATACATGTTTCGTTGTTTCCCTTAAAAAACGGTGGAAAGGTATACACCACACCATTCCGACGTCGCCCCCGACCCTCAAGAAGTCGTGGGATTGAAAAAACAAGCCCGCCACTGCTCATGTACATGTTCCAGCTTCCGACTGAGAGGAACGGATCTTGGACCCCTTCACGGGGGATTCGTTTTCCGGTCCGTCTTCTGCCCCGGTCCGGGGGCCGAAAGCCTCAGGGGAAGCCGACGGCTGCGAAAAGATCTCCAGGACCCCTCTCCCTCAGCACCCGGCTGTTCTCCTGCCATGGCGATCCTCCAAGATCCGCTCCAAAGTGATCCCCAGACTTTCCAAGGGACCATCCTGGCGAGTTCCCGAGCTGCGTCCAGCCGGGGCCGCGAGAACGTTCCAAAACCTTGACCAGCGATGAACAAATACGTCGAAGATCCCTGGCGTCGTGAGCTGTTTACGACGTGGTCCACTAATGATCTCGACCCCTTCTTCAGGACCGGCTAAGGCTTTCATTCCCACAGGCAGCGGATAGTCAAAAAGCTCGCAACAATGGAATGGGATGTTCGCACGTCGTCGCTCATTCATGGTTGGGCGCGGGGCGGCCTGGCGCATTCCCGGTCTCAACCGATGAAGACGTGTTTCGGACTGGAGGATTCTTCTGGACCAGCAGGGGCTACGGTAATTATTCACGCGCGCGTGCCGTACAGCGCGCAAGGCCACAAAGCAACTACGGATAGTTCTTGTTGTGTCGACGTGGCCATCGGAGGACTTCTGACAAACCACATGGCTCATTCAACCGTGAACAATCGCGGCCTTCCGACAGCGCAAATCGCTCAAGGTTGATCGATTCTGGGCCTCTGGCGGCGTTCAATCTTGAAAGCCTGCGCTGAGGTCGCCGCCGTGTCGACGCGGCACGAACCTGCCGAAGACCACTCGCGCTCAAAATCGATCACGCCACCTTGACAGGCACTTCGTTGTGCACCCAGCCGTGGCCACGTGGGGGACGCCCGCACGGAGCCCCACAAGGGCGAAACACGCAAACCACTATCGAGGCGTCGCCGCCCCGTCGACGCGGCGCACCGCGGCGCGTCGAGACGGCGGGAACCTGCTGCGGAGGCCAGGACTCCGAGGGCGAAGGCAGCGAGCGCTGGAGGCGGCCTGGAGGTCTGAACTGGCTGGGACCCCCGAAAATCGGTCCGGAAAGAATGGACGGAGCCAAATCCGCAACGGATCCGCTGCTCACCGCCCTGCCGGGCCCGAAAACGGCCCCCAGAGGCCGAAACGGGCAAGACACCTTCCGGAACCCGCTCCCGCCCGTCCTGTGCTGGCCGGAACCCGTGCCGGGCCACCTCCCAGACCCCCGGACGGCTCCGAAGCGAGCGCGGGGCGGCGCCGCGCCTCGCCGCGCGGCGCCCGCGGGCTCCGGCAGCAGGCGCAGCCGCAGCTCGGCGTCGTTGAAGCCCGTCGCCAGGACCGCGCCGCCCTCGGTGGCGGAGCCGGCCTGCGCCCGCGCGGGGGGGGGACCCGCGCGGCGGCCCTCTCCGCCCCCCACACGCCCCCCTCCCTGCCTATAGATTTGGACGCCCGAAATGGGTACCGAAAAAATTGGTACAATGCCCAACAACAAATGTTGTCCCAAACCAACAGCGGCCGCTGTTGGGCAGGCGGCCTCCTGTCTCGAATGGACACAGGCTTCGGCGGCGCGGACAGCGAGCCCTGTTCAAAATGAACAGGAACTGCTGTTGGGCATGATACCCATTCTTTCCGTACCCATTCCGGGCGTGCAGAATAGAGGCCTCCCAGGTGGAGTCGAGCTTCCTTCCGGCCGCACACATGCGTCTCGGGGCGACGCGCGGGGGGGGGCATCAGGGAAGGGGATGGCTTGCTCTAGGGGTCGGTCGGGCCGCCCCGGAGTCTAGAGGCCTCCCAGATGGAGTCCGAATAGATGGGGTGGGAGGATCGCGCAGCATTGCCAGTGCGTCGGCGACGTCGGCGTGGAGAACATCGGGCTCCATATCGAGCCACATTTCGGCGATGCGAAGGCCTTCTCGACCTCCACCTCCTCTTAGAGCGAGCACAGGCAGATTACATGTACAATCTTCGCGGTTCCGCGTGCACGAAGTGACTGCGATCAAACGCAGGCCAGCGAAAGCTGGCCGCACACCTGTACATTACCGTCGGCCTCTGACTCTCATTGTGAACAAAAAACATCGCGACGTGACACTGTTCACCGCCTTCGGCCTCTGGGGGCCCTCGCTGGGCCTCGGGGACCGTCGAACAGTAACTCGGGATGAAAAGCTGGTTGTCCCGGGGAAAGGGTCCAGACCTCCAGGGGCCCGCGTTGCAGGGTCCGCCGAAGATCCGGGGAAAAAGCTCCCCTGCTGTCTCAGGGGGATCGTTGCCAGGGAACGGCTCAAGGAGGCAAACATCGACCTGGAATCGGTGATACATAGCCGACAGATCGGCGACAGGCCCCGCGAAATCGCACTCTCCTGGGCGGGGAAGGCCATCGGGCCCCTACTGGCGTTATGGGCGGTCGGGGGGGAGGGGGCGACGCTTTCCCCCTGCGCCCTCCCCCCCAAACGTTGCCCCTGACCTGGCCCCTTGGAAGGCGGCCTCCCGGGCAAGGGTGGCCTCTGGTGCGCGGTCTTGCCGATCGCTGCATGCGGTGCGACAGTGGCGGATTGCGCGCCTCGGTTTGCCCCTGCACCCCCCCCGTGCCCGCCGAAGGCCGTGCACCAGCGGCCCCTCCGGCGAAGGGCCACTCCTGCGCGCAGCTGTCCCGTGTGCCCGGGCGCCGAGAAGACCCGGACCAGGCCAACGGCGCCGCCCACTGAGCCGAAGCACCCTGGACCGTCCGTTGGCCTGGCCAGGATCCGCTCTCTTCCTCTCGTTGTTCCCCTGCCCCTCGTAAAAAGAAGTGGCGGGGCCACCAGTGGGCCTGCGCGCGGGACCAGCAGCGGTTCGAGATGGACTCCCACTCGACGTGGTCTGGCCCCACCACCAAGAACTTGAACTCCTGGCCGATGAAGCAGAGGGGCACGTCCCCCGCCCAGACGGGGAAAGTCCCTGGCCCCGTCTGCAGGGTCAGAGACCGGCGGGGGTCCCACGCGCCCAGCTCCGCTGGCGCGCCGACGACCGCGACCCACTGGCCGGGAGACGTGTGCCCGCAGGAGACCTCCACGTGACACGCCATTCCGCGGCCCGCCGCCAGTCCAGCTGCCCGCCAGCCCGCCGGCGAGGGCAGCGCCGCCCGCTGGCATGAGGGGCTGCGGGGCCGGGGGACCACCACCCCCCCGGGACCATCCGCCCGCGGCTGTCTGGCAGAGGCCGCGGCGGCGCGCACGCGGCGGACGCGGCGGGGGCACCCCTGCCGCCCCGACTGGTGCTGCTGCATGACCTCGCCCTCCCCGCCCTCTCGGCCTCCGCCCTCGCGGTCTCCTGCTGCGCGCCCTTCCTCAGTGTCCCAAACAAAAAAAAAGGGAGCCCACGCCTGCCAACGCAGAACGGCAACTGCAGCCAACAGTGTGAAAGCAGGCTGTGGGGCCCCCGCGTCCTCTGCCCCCGCCCTGGAAGGCCGGCGGGGTCCGAAGAAGCCCGTCCTCGCGCAGCCCCTCGGGAGAAGGCAGGAGGCGGAGCAGCCCCAACCTCGGCTCTCAACACGGAGGCCACACCGCCTGACCGTCAGAGGGCTCGGGTGGGCCAGGGCAGACCTTTCTGGCGCACGCCTTCCGCCTCGCAGAGCTGACCGCATCGTCCTGCCCTGTGTCGGGAGGCAACTGTTCGGAGGTCGTGGGATCGATTGAGGTCCATTGCGCCGGATTAAAGGTAAGGGGCTGTTGCGCCGGATTGAGACAAGGACTGAACCAGACTCCAACGAATGATGCAGCAGAGCCGATGCTGAATTCAACCTTCCAGGATTCGCCACCTAATTAGCCTGCAGCTAAAGGCGCAAATGCTGGGCTTTTCGACGCGGGGACCACGAAGCCCTGACCCAGGAAACATGACGCCCCGGTCGAGTCTTGAGCGGCCGTCTGTACACAGATCACAGACCTAGGCTACGTAGGGAAGGAGAGGATAGCGCTCGGGAGATCTACGCGGTAACCGAGAGGCCTGGTGAGAGCACCAGGAACTGCCATGAGCGTACACTTTGGAGGTCCCCGCTGATTCAGTGGGTCGGCGCCGACACCCTCCCCACACGTTCCCTTGGCGCGTGGAAAACGCTGGAGGCGGTTCAGGGGGGGGGGGGGGGACACCGCCAAGCTACGAATTCCGCGCGGGCCTCCGGAAGAGTATGTCCATGTAGTTGTCTGGCCTTCCACTCGTGGCCTGCTGGCGGCACCCCGCGCGGGCCCTCGGGGCCATTAATCCTCTCGCCCCAGTGGGAAGAACGCATGCGCGGCAGAGCTACGACGGCTGGGAGGTAGCCAGGCTGAGAAGGCCCCTGCCCTATCTCGGGGCCCCAACACTACAGAATCCGTAGCCTCTCTGAGTCCCCCTCCAGAAACACTTGCGCGCCCTGTCTGGAAACGTCGCCCGGGACCAACCATGCGTTCACGGCCCAGCCTAGAAGATGCTCGCGACGCAACTCCTGCTCTCGACTGCGTTCTTCTCACCGACGGGCACCGTCAGCCTGTGAGGACGGAGCTGCCAACAACCTCGCTCAGATGCTGAAAGACAGGCACGCGCGTGCAGTACCGCTTGCCACCGTCAAGCGTGCGCATGGGAACTGCGGGTGAGTGCTCCTGCCTGTAGCAAACATGGAGCCCGTCCCTCTCCTCTTCCCCTCACTGAAGGGCAGCGACAACTGCATCACGATGCAGAGGGGCAGACAAGGGATGTGAAACCACCCGTCCCCCCGATCTGTCGCCCTTCTCATCCTCGTCCTCATCTCCGACTCCCTCCCATCCTCCACTCTTCTCCCTCTCCCTCTTCTCTCCTCTACACTTGAACAACATGAATACTACTCTCCCTCCTCCCCCCAAATTTCCAGGAAGATCTCCCGCCCCCTTTCCCTCTTCCTTCCCTCTTCCGCCCCCCCCTCTCCAGGCTCCGTGCGCGAATGGCCTGCCATGCCATTCTTGGCCCAACTCTCTCCCGCACTGCTGCCCATGCGCGCTGCCCCCGCTGGGCACCTCCTGGCAGGCGATGGCGTCCGTGTGCCACAAGATGAACCCGGCCGGCATGGTGCTGCCCGCCGCCGGTCGAGGCCGCGCTTCCTCGCCGCTGCGCGGAGGCTCGGCTACGCGGCCCAAGTTGGACGCGTGCATCGCTCAGCCGACGTCCGCGACTTGGGCGCAAGCCTACGACCTAGGCCACACAGGGCCCTGTAAGCATCGAGACCTTCGTGACACCTTTGCCGAGGTTCATGTGCCAGCTGATCTACCGTTGCCGAGCTTCATGTGCCAACGGACCAATTGGAACTCATGATGTTCAGCCGCTTCATGCGTCGCCAGCTCATTTCCCACGACTGCTCGTTTCTCGCGAGGTTGCCCAGCTGAGCTGCCCGCCGGCGCCGTTTCCGGCGCCCTTGCCGCAGGCGGCCTCTCTGGGCGACATGCAGGGGGCTCCGCCTGGACAAGTCGCCCCCGCTCGAGATGCCAGAGGCTTCACTTAGGCTTTGTTCGAGGTGCCGGTGGCTTCGATCGTGCAGATGGTGGTGCCGAAGCACGTCGTCTCTGTCGACGCGCCGTCCTCGTCGCCCGAAGTACGCGAGCTAGAAGTTGCAGTTTGCGACCTTTTCGTGATGTACAACTGCTCCCCCATGGCGAATAGCCATCTGCTGTGCATTGCGCATGCAGTGCCGGCTGGGATATTGCCACCGAGTGCAAGCAGCGGATCTCAAAATCTTGATCTGCAGCGAGACCCTGGCCTCCTGGGGAAGATTGCCACCCTGCTCGAGAAAGACTGAGCCCGGGGGGACGCCCTCTACCTCAAGGTCTGCAAGAAGATCGGAGCGCACCCAGTGCCGTTCAGTTGTGGCCTCGACTTGAGCGGCTCGCACGTGCATCGTCCTCCTGATTCAGTGTGCTTCTCTCAGGTCAGACGACCAGAGCGCCCGAACCTTTTGTCATTCAGGAGTCTGGCGCTTCCCCGATCTCTGTATGGGTCGCCCCAGTTCGTCTCCTGCGCCCATTTCTTACGCCGCTGCCGTCGACATTCGAGCGCCAGCAGGCGCACAGGAGCGCTCTTCATTGCAAAGCCCCGCGCCGCACAAAAAACACACACCCTCTCCTCTACATCTTCCAGCAATTATCATCCACTTCCACCACTGCCTCACCCCCCGTACCCTTGTAACCTATATCCCGCCCCACTACCCCATGCCACCGCTCTCTTCCTCGCGTTCCTCCTCATCCTCCTCCTTCCATTCTCCTCCTCCTCCTCCTCCTTCTCCTGGCTTCCTTTCACAGGAATTCCTTTGTGTGAGCGATGCACAAAGATGTACAAACTAAGTCTTGGTGTGCGCATTACACATAACATCCTCTTGTGCGGCTTTTCAATCGGACTCACGTTGTGGGCGATTTGCAAGCTGATTTCTAGTGTGCGGATTTCACTCGGGTTCATTCGTGGGCGATTCACACTGTCACTCGAGTGTGGATTGCAAATCAATACTTCTGTGCGGCTTTTCAATAGGATTATATTGCAGGGTTAGGTGACGACGAAGAGGATGAGATATAACGACAGACATGTCCGAGACAAGAACACAAAGCGAACAATCAAACGAATCCCAACATACAAACATACACCACGAAAACAATTCCCAAAAGGTCCCAGATTTCCCCCTAACCGTCCAGCCCCTCCCCATCCCCCTGTCCGATCTCCTCCCCCTCTTCGCCCATGCACTATCATGCACCTTTCTCCCCGTTCCCGCCCTCCCCATCGTCCTCGCCCTCGCCCTCCACCGAACCCCACCCGTCTCCTCCTCAGCCTCCTCCTCCTCCTCGGAGATACGGAAGCAAACAATCCGCCATGCGATCACAGCTCATATTGAACGAAACAACAGAGGATGGGGAAGGGGACGGGAGGGGACGGAGAAACCCGTCCTTCTTCTTCCTGCCCCTCCCACACCTTCCTTCGTCCCCCTCTCGTCCCCCGTTGGGGGAACTTGGTGGCGGGGGAAGGTGCCGCCCGCGAAGCGGCCGCCGCTAGTGGAACGGTAGCCCTGGCCCGTCGGGCCCGGCCACGACCTGCAAGTACTCCTCGAACTTGGTGTCGTCCAGGTAGCCCTGTCGAGGGATCGGCATCGTTCCCGCCCTGCGGCCAGAGTCTGACAATTTTCTTATGCTCCTGCTGTTGTGGAAGGCTTTCGGACCCGAGGCGTTTTCTGCCAGCTTGGCCTCGTCGAGAGCCCTCAGGGATACCTGACATCGTCCAGTCGGCTGCATTGGCTCCGAATCTTGGCCCGAAAATCGAACCGAGGGAAGAAGACCCTGAAGCTATTCGTCGTGACAAAACTCGCAACGAACGTTTCTGCCCAGTCTTGGGCCATCAGGCACGACACTGAATAATCCAGCGCGAGCTCCAAGTGTGATGCGTTACGAAACGAGAGCAGGGAGAAAGACCCTGGAGCTGTTCGTCGTGATAAAACTCACAACGAACGCTTCTGACCAATCTTGGGCCCTCAGGCCCGTCACTGATTGATCCGGCTCGAGCTCCAGCTGCGATGTGAAACGAAACTGTGGTCTGATAGCGTCGGACTCCAGAATCGCCTTCGATATCGATCTCGGCGACCAAACACTCAATGCCGCCAACCCCCGCTTGTCGGGGGTGAGAAGGCGTGTGAGATGATTGTCTGTCATCCTCACTCTTTCCCCCTCCCCCAGGGCCCAAATCTGATTTGAGGGGTGGGGGGGCATCCAGGCTCGCCGGCGAACTCCCGGAAGCTCTGGAGCGTCCAAATATGTTGTCCGTTGCCTCAACGACGTGCCAAGACGGTCCCGAATCGACGAACGACTGGGCCAAGACGACCACTGAGGCTCCAAGACGCCCTGAGACCTCTTCAAGACGCCCCAAGAGGAGGCCCAAGAGCCTTCCCAAGAGGGCCCCGAGAAGCACCAGATTATGGTTTTCCATATATGTTTTCGTTATTTCTGGGGTTATCGTCTCCTTGAGCTTCCGACGCTCCAAAACGGCCCAAGAGGCCCCGGAGACCACCCCAACACTGCCAGAAAGGCTCCTGCAAGAGCCCGGGGACGGACCAAGAGGGTTCCAAGATGGCCCAAACAGGGGCCCAAGACGGCCATAAATCGCCCCAAGAGGGCCCCAACAGAGGCCATGAGGGAAAAGACAAACCGAAAATCTGATCCTTCCGCCGAGAGAGGCCCCCCAGAAGCCCCCAGAAGCCCCCAAGCGGCCCGAAGGAGGCACCCAATGAGGCTCAAGAGGCCTCCAAGAGGCCCCCAAAGAGGCCCCCAGACGACCCCCAAGACGCTTCAAAAGTGCCTCCAAGAGGCTCAGCCACGCCCCCAAACAGGTCCCAAGACGCCCACGAGAATCTCCAGATAGTGCCCAAGAAGCCCACGACGCCTCAATCGTGGACGCCCCGCCTCTCGCCTCTTCGGGTGGTCGGGGGAATCGCGTAAGCCTCTTGAACCGATCATGTCTCGGCGTCTGGGTGGAAAATCCGATGCCGCTCACGACTCCAGACATGGCAGCATCCGTTGCCAAAGTAAGGGGCCACAAGCGAACCCTACCCCTGACCCCCACGATTTCTGAGGGGGAGGGTGCGGTTTACTTCGCCTCAGAAATCGTGGGGGATAGGGGTAGGGTTCACATGTGGTCCCCTACAAAGGAAACCGTCATCCACGCGTCGTCGCCCTCTTGGTCGTCATGGTCCTGAACCTCGCCATCGTCCTCGTCGCTCGCGTGCAGCAGCTGGGGACGACCCAGACGAGCTCGGGCCATCCACTGACAACTCTCCACCGATCCTCTCCTCCTCCTCCTCCTCCTCCTCCTCCTCCTCCTCCTCTCCTCCTCCTCCTCCTCCTCCTCCTCCTCCTCCTCCTCCTCCTCCTCCTCCTCCTCCTCCTCCTCCCTCCTTGGCAGAATTCCAAGACCAAGGGCTAACAGTGATGAGCAGCGGGGGAGAACATCCGTTCTCTCATGTGTCGGTTTTGCCTTGCACCCTGCCCTCTCCATGCTTGTGCCTGTCTGGACTGGCCGCAGTTGCGGCGACATCTTCGTTCCCCGTAGCTGCCTGCTACGAGGCGTCCCTCGGCTAACACTGGAGGCGGTTTCTCCGTCCGACTGGAGGAGGCTGAGGAGGAGTGAGCAGCAACATGTTCTCACTTCAAGCCAGTCCTCCAGCATTGCAATTTCCCGTGCGAGCTTCCGTTGTCCAGCACAGATGTTGGAAGAGGCCAGTCACTTTTAGCCTTCTTGGGTCTGTGCGCTGGCCGAGGCTCATCAATCTGTCGAGCGACCTAATTCGCAACATTCCAGGATCAGGTGCTCCCAATGTCACAACCTGTCGGCGACCTAATTCGCAGAATTCCAGGATCAAGTGCTCACAGTGAGCATCTGCTACGAGGCGGTATCTCCGCCCGACTGGAGGAGGCTGAGGATGAGATGAGGTTGAGGAGAGTGAGGGGGTCTGGGTGGGTCGTTCCCTTCCCTCATCCCGTGTGCCGTGGTCTACGGCAACTTGCAGGCGCGCCGCTCGCTGCCGCGCGCCCGACCTTGAGAAGAGGATCGGAGCAGTCTGCAGCAGCAGCCGCAACAGTATGTTGCTGCAGCATGTGCATGTGTACCATCTCTCCTCAGGGTGAGTTTGTCCAGTGTTCTCGAGACAGGCTTCCGACGCCCGTAACTTGGGTTTTCCTGACACCTAGCACCTAGCACACTCCACGTGGGAATCTCTGGTCTGCATGCCGTCTTCAGCGTAGTGCACACCCCCGGCAACGATGCCCTCTGGCATATTTTCGCGGACCTCCGAGTTCCAGGTTCCGAGTTCTTCCTCCCCCTCCCTCCCTCCCTCCCCTCCGTTTCTCGTTCCGCCCGTGTCACGCGAGTTGACCCAGAGTCCGGTCGTTTCTGTCCCCCCCCCGCCAGCTGCAGAGAGTGCGCCCGCCTCGACGGAGGGGGGCGTAGACCCAACGGCCACGCCGGGGCCCCCTGGGCCACCGGAGGCAGACGAGGAACAGGCGTATCTTGACACTCGCGCTTGTCTTACCGGTCCGCCCCAGCCTGACCTCGCATCGGCTGCTCCCGCTCCGCCCTCCCCTCTCCCTCTCTCTGATAGATCCGAGCCCGTGCCGCCAGAAACCGGGCACTGGCACGTGCGAGGCGAGCGGAGCGACGCGCACCCCAGCTGCTAGAAGCCGCCCCTTGGACGAGTGACCCAGCCTTTGGAGAGGGGCTGTTCCATCGAACCCCTGACCAGCCTGTCGGTCGACTACAGAGTGTACGCGACTGGGGTCATGATCTTTGGGCGGCGCGCTGAGACCTGTTGTAGCACGGACGGTGTGTAGTGGGGTGGGTACTTTGCGCAAGGCTTGGCGACCACTTTTGGGGGAAAGTGGTCGCCCAGCGCGGTGTGTCCCAAAAATCGGCGGTGGACAAACCTCCCCTTAGTGAAAACGACCTAGGGCCGAAATCGACGGACCTGGACCCGCGAAAATGACGACCGCGACGCCCTCTCGCGAACCGAAGACGGCCAATTCCTTAATCGACTTGTCAGGGTAGGAGGTCCGTCCACCTCCGAAGAAAGTGGTCTTCTCGCCAAGCCGATCGAGGGCCCGCCTGCGCTCGTGAGCGCACCCTCGGTGTCGAGCGCGCCTCGTTTGTCGCTCTCGGCTCTGCTGTATGCGTACTTGAAAGGGGCCCTGGGACAGACCGAGAAAAAGACACAAAAAAACACAATTCCCCATATGTTCTGGGTTTTCGTCTTCCCCCCCACTTCCTATAGGTTCCCATGTTCTCCTGGGGATCGACGACTGATGGTGTCTGTGTGCTTTTGTTCCCTCCTGAATGGTCTCGTAGCGCCGTCGCACTTGCCTGCACGCTGTTGTTGCACAGAGTCGTGCACGCTTCCCACACCTCGCTTGCGGCAGTACCCGACGGGGGATGCTTGCGGATGGCGGGTGGGCGGGGACTCGACGAGGGAGGGCGGCGTCGCAGTGCGTTCCTCTCCTGCATCCATGGCCGGCCTGTTGCCCCCCCCCTTGCGCGGCACCTCGCTCAGAGCTCCTGACAAAGAGAAAGTCAGGACCCGCGATTGCTGCCGCCGCCTGTCTTCTTGCCTCCTCGTTGCTCGTTCAGCGTGCTGAACGCAGCAAAGCCTGCGGCCGACTCCTTGGCGCCCTGAAGGATTTTCCGCCTTTGCAATAGTCTTGACGAGTCCGGCTGCGAGTGCCGCCCTCAGTCTGACCAGCCAGCGGGCGAATCAGAGATGCAATCCAAAATCCCTCCCACCCTCCCTCCCTCCTCCTTCTCTCTACTCCCCCATCATACCTCTTTTGCTCTCCCTCCTCCTCCTCCTCCTCCTCCTCCCTCCTCCTCCTCCTCCTTCTCCTCCTCCTCCTCCTTCTCCTCCTCCCTCCTGCTCAACCCTCCGTCCTCCTCCTCCTCCTCCTCTTCCTCCTCCTCCTCCTCTTCCTCCTCCTCTTCCTTCTCCTCTTCCTCCTTCTTCTCATTCTCCTCCTCCTCCTCCTCACCTTGCTCCTCGTCTTCCTCCCTCCTCCCTCCCCCTCCGTCTTCTTATGCACTCCTCCCTTCTCGTCCTCCTCATCATGTTTCTTCTTTCTCTCCGGGTCTCGGGGGGGGACCTTTGCGGGCAGCGCACTTGGGAGGTGCGGGGCTGCCCCGAGATGCGGCAGTGCCTTCGCTGGCTGCTCTGAAAGGCTGCGAGACTGCAGAGCAGCAGCAGCACCAGCAGCAGCAGCAGCGGTAGCAGCAGCATGTGCTGATGCTGAAGGCTATCACCCCGACCGACCTGCTCTTGAGGGAGTTTGGCGAACGGGTGGACATGTTATTGGCGGAGACCAGTGGGCTAAGGATGGGGCTTGTCCAAGACCTTGGCGGTGCCATGGCGGCGACAGCAGGGGGTGATGCAGCATTCCTTGGAGGGGCAGAGGGCGCCATCAGCAGGGACATCGATGCCATACATGGAGGGGGGAAATTGCCACCTTCTTCACTGGGGACTGCGATGAAGTTCTGGACTCCCGAAGCCACATGGACTCTTACATGATTTCTAAGGGCGAGGACGTCCCTATGGCGGCATGTCAGGGCGCTCGCGAACCCCGAAAGTCGAGTACCAGCAATAGTTCATATACAATAAATGCATGCAAGGCGCCAACCTCCAGCAACGTGTTTCGGGCAAGTCCGGCCTGGCGTTCGCGGACACAATGGGATCTTTCAGACGACGAACTACATCAAAAAACGCCTCGACGCGTGAGTTCGTGAAGGAGTCCATGGTCGAGGACGCCAGTAATGGCCACACATGTGCCAGGGTCTTGGTGAAGTTTGACGCGAATAGTCGGCACGGGACCAGCATGCCTCAGCTCGGCGGTGACGAAGTGCTCGTGCACTTGGCGGGCAGTGCTGCTCTGGCGGTTATCGCTCTACGAGGATGATGAGGCGGGGAAAGGGGGGAGAAAGACGAGGAGGACGAGGAAGGCCATCGAATGGCGGAACGGGTGTCAATTGCTACGGTCCGAGCCTCTCCTCCTTCCGTCTCCTCTCTCTCCTCCTCCCTCCTCCTCCTCGTCCCACACACCTCCTCTCGGCCTTGTCCTCGCCTCCCTCCTCCTCCGTCTACGAGCCCAACTAGAGATCCGTGGGCCTGGCAAGCCGCCCCTGAGGGGCCACGGGGGATACAGAGGTTCAGGAAGAGGCAGACAACAGGCAGGATGAGAGTGGCGAGTGAGTACAAGGACATCGAGGAGAATGTCACAAGGAGTGTATGGAGGAACGAGTGGGTCAGAACGTCAAAAAGCTGAGCATTGGCATACGAGCGAGCTGAATCAAGAACAGTGAAAATAGACAAGGCCACAGGATGTGCAGATGTTCTCTCTTTCGCAAGCTGCAAAACGACACGTGCAAGTGATGCCTCACAACCAACCTCCACCGTCAGAACGATGGGGAGACGGCCATATGGACTGTATCCAAACTCCATGACTTCATGGAGCTCGGGGGGGGTGGGGCCGACGGGCAGCCACCAACCCGAAGGCGTCCCCCCAACCGCCGGCCGACCTCGACCGCGCCGTCGTCGTCAAGAGCGACGTGCACAGGGGGCACGGGGCGGCCGCCGCCTCCGCCCCCTCTGGCTCGGGCAGCTCCGACGGTGGGCCGATCCTGTCGGCCACCGCTGCGCGCAGCGGGCCCTCCGCCGCCCGCAGCGAATACGCCCACAGACAGAGAGCGTCCCGCCGCACGCCCTCGGAGCGGCCCGAGCCGCGAGGAGAGCTGCGCGGGCGGTCTCGACGGCCCCCCGGAGCGCTGCACTCGGCTGCGCGGCCGGCGCAGCGGCGAGGGAACGGCCCGGAGGAACGCCTGCAACGGCAACTCCCGAGCCAGCGAAGTGCGTGCTCGGGAGGGCGGGTGGACAAGGGGATGGGGAAGGGCCAAAGGAACCGAGGGGGAACGGGGAGGGGGAGGAGGGAAAGGGGACGGGGAACATGAGGAGGACAAAGAGGAAAGGGGAAAGGGGGAGGGGAACAAAGGGGGGCGAAGAACAGGGGAAAGGGGACGGGGAAAGGGGGAGCATGAGGGGGAGGGGAAAGGGGACGGGGAACATGAGGAGGACAAAGAGGAAGAACAATCGAAAACTCAAGCGAATTACTGTTGCCCCACGAACCTGTTGCCCCACGAACTTCCATCATCAATCTCCGGCATTCCTCCGTGAACCCATGCTGACAACCGCGGCAGCAAGCCCCCCACCAAGCCTCATGCGTGACAGGCTCCTGTTCAGGAGGGCCAAAGAACATGATGGCCGGAAACGACTTCACTCCTGGCCGCTGTCAAGGATGGCATCGTTCGGGGAGGCAACATATGTGAGACAGATGTGCGTGTGCATCCGCACGCGCTGGCAACAACATGTTGCATACCCCGTGGGAGAAGCCGTCTGCGGCGATCCGTGCGGAGGCAAACACGGATCCCGTTCTGACAGCTACGTGCTGCAACGCTTGCCGTGCTGCATCGACTGCGCGTGCCGGTGGGGGGGAAAGCTCACGCGAACAAGCCACAACTCGCGCGCGCGCGTCCTCGGGCCGTCGCAGGTATTGTCCACTCTCTTCCTTGGGAGTTCCCGCGGGGGGTGGAAATTGGGGGGGGGATGGCAAAAACCCAGCTGGGGGCCCGCACCAGGGCCCAGTGGTGCCACGGGATTCGTGACGCACACCAACCAGGACTCCCAATATGCGTGGAATATATCGGCGCCCGTGGCAAGCTTTATCCAATTTCGAGTCCGATCAACGTCTGCGGGTTTTTGTTGCCCATGTGTCGCTCGTCCAAAAAAACCATCTGGACCTTCTTGGGAGGAAACCAAGCTGCGAAACAAGCACATAGAGGGCAGCCCGAAAAACGGGGTATGCGAGGCGGGCGGCGTCCAAGAAGGCAAAGAGCTGCCAAGACAAACGACTAGAAAGCATGCAGGGTTTTACGATGCGCGGTGCCAGCGTGATTCTCGCCTCAACACCGCGCGCATTCGTCAACCTCAAACATGGAGAACGGCTGGTGTGCAACATACGGCTGCCAACTTAGCAGCCGCGCACATTCGCCATGCAACACTTCAACCATTATACCGATGGAGGTTAGAATAATTCAAAACGGTGGTTCGCGGCTTGAAGCCATTCTTTTATGCCGCAGCGCGGCACAGACAGTCCGCACGCACACTCAAATGGGCCGGGAAGAGGACGATGCGAATTGACCGGCGAAGAAAGCGGGGTGAGAAAGGGGAAGGCGGCCGCGGAGGAGGGACAACGGGAGGGAGGGCACTCCCAGGGCGAGGCGCATCGTCTTGGAGCGGCGGGTGCGGCCAGCCAATGCTGCATCACCCTGGCAGTCGGCGCGGGGCCGCATCACGGCCACGCCCAAGGGCCGAAGCAGAGGCTGCAGCGCGCGAAGCGCAGGAGGTACAAGTGCGGGAGGACGGCGCGTAGGGCCAACTCGGGAAAGACGCTCCAGTCCAGCGAGATGCCGACCATGCAGGTGACTGCACATGGCGGTGGCAAGCTGCCAGTGCCCGAGAGCCGGCGGGCGGCCACGAACGCGGCAAAATGCAGCAAGGCTGGACGAGAGACCAGGGCTGAAGGGCAGCGGGCTGGGCTGTCTGCTACCGCTGATGCTAGCCGCGCTGCAGGGGAACTGCTCCAGCCAGCAGCGTGCCAATTATCGAAGAGGCGCAGCAGAGGGCGGGGGCGCGGCAGAGCGCCCGACCAGCAGACCCACGGCGGCGGCTGTATCCGCCCCCCCAGGGCAAACATCCCTTGTAAATTACGCTGCGTTCGCGCTCCCAGGGCCACGACCCGTCGTACATTACGCGGCGTCCGCGCTCCCAGGGCCACGATCCATTGTAAATTACGCTGCGTCCGCACTCCCTGGGCAACGATCCCTTGTAAACTACGCTGCGTGCGCGCTCCCAGAAAACAAGCATTTCACCTGAGACAGCATCTGAATTCTAGCCCCCAGGAGAGGAGCGATCTACAGCACAAAAGCGTCTCGCGAAGGACATCCTCAAACATGTTGGACCCACGAACCTGGAAAGGGCTATAGCAACGTAAAGCATGGCGACGTTTTAAAGACACTTGATTTGGCGACGGGCAATTGCAATGCTGAATGTATCGATCTTGACGTACCGTGCCAAAGGCTGCGCCGTGCTGCGCCGTGCTGGATTGCGATGTGCCATGTCGCGATTGTGCTCCAAAGCGCTGTGAATCGAGTCCCCCGTTTTGCATCAGAGTGAGCTGCCTGAGCACATAGTAGGGCGAATTGGCTAATTGGCAGGGGGACACGCCAAGGGACGCGCCGCGGAACGTCCCAAGGGACGCGCTTGGCGACGTGCCAGGGGACGTGCCATGGGGACGCACCCCGCGGGACGTGCAAAGGGGACGCGCTAGCTGGGGAGAAGCGTTTCGCTCGAGACATCCTGCCCACATCCTCATGCTAGACATCCGCCTGGGCGACCTGGACGCGTGAAAACAAGCGTTTCGCTCAACACATCCTCAACACATCCTCATGCTAGACATCCGCCTGGGCGAACTTCACACGTGACAACAAATGGTTTGCTCGAGGCATCCTCAACGCATCTTCATGTTAGACGTCCGCCTGGGTGACCTGGGCACGTGAAAACAAGCGTTCCGCTCGAGACTTTCTCAACACCCCCTCATGCTGGACATCCGCCAGGGAGACCTGGACACGCGAAAAGCAACGTCTCGCTCGAGACATCCTCAACACATTTTCATGTTAGACATCCGCCAGTGAGACTTGGACACGTGAAAGAAAACGTCTCGCTCGAGACACTCTCAACACATCCTCATGCGACATCTGCCTGGACGACTTGGACGCGTGAAAACAAGCGTCTCGCTCGAGACAACCTCAACACATCTTCATGCTAGCTTGGAGGCGTGAAGCCAAGCGTCTCGCTCGAGACATCCTCAAGACTTGGGCACGTGACAACAAGCATTTAAACCCGAGCGAATTTAGATCGAGCGAGTTTACACCCGAGAAGTTCGCACCCACATGACTTCAAATCGAAAGAAATTTAACGAGCGAAGTTAAACGAGCAAGTTCAAACCCGAGCAAATTTAAATCGAGCGAGTTTTCGCCCGAGCGAGTTTACACCCGCATGACTTCAAACCGAGCGAAATTGAACGAGCGGAAAAAACAACAACGACACAGAGGAGCTTTCAGGCGGCGACCGGGAATCGACCGAGCGAGCTCCATCCGAGCAAAATCAAATCCGAGCGAATTCCAATTCGAGCGAATTTTTGTCGACTCTCAGAGCGACTTGTGGACTTGTGGTCTGCCTGACCTGAGCGGCAACCGGAGATCAACCGAGCGAAAAAGAAACGAGCGGAATTTCACCCGAGCGAAATTAAACGAGCGAGAGAACAACTAGCGAAAAGAATAAGCCAGTTTAAACTGAGCGAAATCAAACCCGAGCGAGTGTAATCCCGAACGAATTTAAATCGAGCGAATTGCAATCCGAGCAAGCTTCAACCGAGCGGATCTAGACGAGCGAAACTCAACGAGCGAAACTGAACTCGAGCGAAGCAAAAAGGTGAATCGGAGCCCGCGCCCAGCCAGTGCGCGCATCACAGCTGGGGCGGAGAGCAGCCCGCCAACCAAGGCGGCTGGGCGGGGCGAGGGCGCCCCGCTGCGGGGGGGGGGCCACGGGCAGGGGAGGGGGAGCGGGGCGGGGAGGAGGGGGCGAAGGCGCCCCGCTGCACGGGGGGGGAGCGGTGAGCGGGGAACGGGGGAGGGGGGAGCCGGGGAGCGGCGCACGCGTGAAAAAGAAACTTCCGACAGCTGCGCGCGTGGGGCTCTCGCCAGGGCCGAACCTGAACGGTGCTGTTCGTGTTCGTGTTGTGTTCGCTTTCCCTCGCTGTCGTCTCGAATCCCCCTGTTTACCGCAAGACGAGATCGAAACGAAAACGGCCCACGAAATCGCCCAGAACACCGTTGAGGCCCAGCTCTGGCTCTCGCCTGAATGGCAGGCCCGAGGTGATCTCGCCTCTGAGAGGGGGCGCGTCTTGTAGCGCTAAGGGGTAGGGGCATACGAAGGTAAAGGGCAGCATCGTTCATGCAGTCTCGGTCTCCGCTGGTCCATGTCCTCTTCCTCCTCAACGTTCTCCTTCCGCCTCGCCCACCTCTCCTCTCTCCAACTCCTCCCAAAAAACAGCCAATTGTTGACAGGAGGCCCCCAACTTCCAGGTCATTCTGAAGATGGGGCCCCGCCTGGGGCCATCCAGGGGCCGCCGCCTAGAAGACATGGGGACATCTTGTTTTGCGCAATTGTCTGGAAGTTGCTGCTTCCCGCGGTCGCCTGGCTGACTACTTCTGCGTTGAAGGCGCTGCAGCGGACGATTGGGAGCTGGCAATGGCGGTTTGGAGCGATTGCTGAAAACATCTTCGGAAAACCGTGTTTTCTTTTCTCTCCTCACGCGCCATCTGGTGCAAGGAACTCTCGCTCGCTTGCTCGCTCTCTCGCCGGTGCTCCCTGACAGCCTTGGGGACCCAAAGGAGGGCCAGGAGCACGCAAGAGAGCCCTCCGAACTGCTCGATAACCGAGGCGACTCGCCCGCCGTCCTGAGCCCCCGAAGGCCCACAGAGGCCTCAGCCTCAGGAGACCTCCTGGAGGCCTCGGTCGCCCCACTTCGCGCATCGCGCCCCGCGGTGCACGACGCGTGGTGATCTTCGCGCCATCGTGCCCTCGCGCCCCCCACCGAAGGCCAGCTGTCCTGGCCCTGACCGCGGCGCGCGAAGCGCGAGAATCTTCGCGCCCCTAAGGGAGAAGGGCCCCAGAAAAAGAAAGCCTACAACAGCCAAGAACTTCCCCACGCTCCAATCGTCGAATCTCGGGGGGGCGCGGTCCGAACTGCTCGCCGATGGCTCCGAACTGCTCGCCGTCGAGAACGAACACCCGCAGCGGCGAGCCGAGGAGCGACCCGGCGGCGTCCGCGCCTGCACCGCGCGCACAGGGCGGCCTGGAGCCCCGAAGCGTGGAGATCTGGCTAAGGGCCTCCATCGTCGCCAGTTACGTCAAAAGTACAATACTTGCGCGTTACAATCAGAATTGATGGTAAGGATGCGCGATGAGGATGCAAGCCCTTTGGACGCACATGTCGAAGCTTTTCGACATGGGGCTGGCCATCGAAAATGGTTGAGGATGGGCCGAAGATGACCGACGAAACAAGAATGCAAGGGTACCCTTGGGAAGTCGATCGTCCTTACAATCGGTGTCGATTGTAGCTCCCACTCGTAATCCCGTCTCTTTGACTTGGCCACGCAAACAGTCTCGACAAACAGCCCCCATTCGACCCCCAAAGGGCGGCGGACGCACAGAGAAACGCGGAGGAAGGAAGGGAGAATGTGACTTCGTTTCAATTCCGTGAATTCGAGTTTGGGGTGGTTGCTCGGTGTCGTCGTCGGCGTCGTCGGCATCGCGGCAGCCGTCGTCGTCGGCGTCGTCGCCGCCTTCGGCGTCGTCGTCTTCGGCGCTTCGGCGTCGCCGTTGTCGAGGGTGCCTGATTTGCGCGTTTGGGGTGGTTTTTGAGGGACTGGAGGCCCCAGGGCGCCTCCACGGACCTCCAGAATGCTCCCGAGGACGCAGACCTCGGTCGGCTCGAATGTTATAGCGACGCAAGATTTCCCAAAGTTCGGCTCCCAGGCACCGTTTCGCAGTCCTTACAGGCAATGCCGCAACAGAAACAACCCATGATGAGTAACTGGGCCCTCGAGAAGGGTTTGCGAGTGCACCACCGAAAAATACAACTCAAAGGTGACCGAAACACGCAGCACGCCAGCGAAACGCAGGAACCGAGGTTCGTGACGCAGGTTGCTTGGAGCTTTCGCCCGACACCCTCGTCAACTGGACATCGCTTTATGACGCGGCGGACGGCGCCCGCGCCCTCCGACGCAGACGAGAAGATGGCCAACGGCGCATGCGAGGGAGAGAGAGAGAGAGAGAGAGAGAAAAAAAAAAAGAAACATAAAGAGCCATCAATTCGCCTTTTTTATCCACAAGAGAATTCTGAATTGCACTTCTCAGGCATGCGTTGACAAACATGCGGGACAAAAACTGATCAAGAACATGTGGGATCGCGCGCGGCCATGAGACACTCGAGTGAACGCGGTCTCCCGAAGCATGGTCGCCCATCCTCGGCGGTCGTGCGGGCTTACTCCCTCCCAACTTCCAGAACCCGTGCTCACCGATGCACCGACCAAAGAATAAGAGACGCGCGCATGTTCATCGAAAGGCGAATGGCCAAGCCAAGCAGCGTGCGCTTAGTCGGTAATGGGACCGCCATGTGGTATGATGCCCGTCCCGCCAAGCATGCCTGCCGCCAAGCGCGCTTGATACTAGCACGGCGCAGACAACGATCGGGAAATAGCAACCAAAACGCATACGTTTCAAATGATGGGTCAACCCACAAGCGGCGAACATATCCGTGCCCGGGCCCTCGCGGTCTGGATTCCATGGCGCGATCCCGCGGATGCGTGGTCCCAAAATTCTTCCGCGCAGGGCATCCGCGAAAACACGTCCCGCATCCGTGGGGTCGCGGCCCAGGTGCCTGGCCCGCGAGGCCGCGGGCGTTTTCGCCCACGACAAAAGGCACTGCAAGACAATCTCGAGCCGATCGGGCGGAGCCGGTCACGCGGGCTACGCTGGATGCGCCCGGGCGGGCCGACGCCGCCCGCTGCCGCCGCGGCGGCCTGCGACCCCTTGGGCCCGCGTGCGCATTTAGCAGCAAGGTTTTCGTCTAAAGCACTGGCTCGCCTGGTTCCCTCCGGGGAGGTCGACGTGACCAGTCGCTGCCAAGAGCGATCGCGTTCTTCAGACGACATGACGTGCTCGATGGACGTCTCGCTTGCATGTAGATCCCAACGCACTGGCATGCGCTACTACAACCAGCCCCTCCGTAGCATCACCACGCGTGTGATATTTTCCTCATCTCCTAAACCGGGAGTGCCGAGCTCGAAAGGCATTACATACTACATGTCACATCGAGCTGATTTTTCATACCCTGTCTGCGCGACACCTTGGCGACCAGACCGGGCTGCGCAACGGGCCTCGGGAACCTGCGAACTCGAGGCCGCGACAAGCTGAGGACATCTCCCTGAGACAACCTCCAGTTGACAACACTAAGGAGAAGGAGGGCGGCGGGGACTGCGGCGGCGCACGTAAGCCGCGGAGGCGGCGGCCGAGTGGGAACAGGAAAGGGGTTCAGGGAACAAGTGGTGCAACCTCATCCCTTGAAACCCGGAGTGCCAAGCTCGAAGAGAATTAGATACTACATGTCACATCGAACTGATTTGTTCATACTCCGTCTGCGCAACAGCTTGGTGACCAGGCATGGCTGAGCAAAGGGCCTCGAGAACCTGCGAACCCGAGGCCACGACAAGCTGAGAAAACCTCCCAGACCCGCACTGCGCTCTGGAACCGCAAATCTATAAAAAAAAAAAAAAGGGCCATCCGAAACCTGCGGCCGCGTGACCGAACGTGCGAGCCAGGCTGCACTGGCCTGTCCAAGCCTCCGTAGGCACTGAGAGGCCACAGTGGTCCAATTCACGGAGCTTCCAGGGATCTTGCCTACAAGGGCGAGGTGCGGCCGATCCGACAAGCAGCAGACGCCGTGCCCGTGACGAGGCCGATTGGCACGGGGCAAGCTTGGCGTCCACCACCCCACCAGCCGAGTCCGTTTGCGCCACCTCGCCCCAAAAAAACACTGATCGAGCACAACCTCACGTGCCTGGGTAAGCCTAGTCGAGGAATGCGGAATGCGGACTCTCACAAATCACCGGGGCAAAAATACACGCAGGCCAGAATGAGCCGTCGCGTGCTCCCTAGGGTACGGTTTCCCGCTCGAAGCCGTTTGGCCTGGGCCAACGTCGGGTCGAGGATGCCGCGCACGCGCCAGGGCCGCCGAATTTTGTAAAAACTAGCATTGGACCACGACGAACAGGGAAAGGCGCACCATATACCCTTTACAAGTCCCGCCGAAATCCACCCTAGGACATGGTTTAACACGTTAAGATCTGTCAAATCAAATTCAGCACCCTGTACAACATCAAAAGCAACACCTGATTCACCCTGCTGTTCAAAGGCATGCATCACAGGAGAGGAGCCAACAAAAACATCAAATAACATGTTGCCATCACGCAATTGATTCAAAACCGTGCGAAGATGCCTCTGGAACCGTCCACGCACGTCCTGCACGGCCAGTCTGTCGCTAGCAACTCCCACGTTATGATCAGGCCTCAGGCTCCTCGCCGCCGCAGCCCTCCGGCCTGCTTAAGCTGCAGGGCGCGCGTGTTGGGAGGGTTCGGGGCGGCGCGCCCGCCTGCTAGTACCTCCAGCACGTGGTTGGCGACAAGCAGCCCGTACTCGCGGGCGGCGTCCGTCATGTTGTCGCCCTGCTTCAGAACTCGGGCGTGCTTCTCGTCTCGGAGTACCGATGAGTCGGCGCGCCATCTGCCCCTCCTCTTTACTTCCTCCAAGTTCCTGCGAGTTCGAAGGGCATCGTCCGAAGCTCGCCCGTGCCTGAGCATGTACGGGTGGGGCCCGATGTTCGACGGGTCGGACGGTGCCGAAGTCCGAGTCGCTGAGCCCGCTGCCGGAGCCGCGCCGCCACCCACCCGTGGCAGGCGGCAGACGGCCGAGCCCAGGCGCCAGCGGCCCCCTGTTCACCAGGTCGAGCACCGCCTGCTCGTCGGGGCTGCGCTCAGGCAGCGGCAGCGGAGGCTCCGCGGGCACGATGCCGTGATCGGCTGCGCCCTCAGCGCCAAGGGTTGCGAGACCCGCCTGTCGACCCCGAAGACGGCGACGAGGACTACCGCCCTGGGCTACCTCGCCTAGGCAAGCTCGGTGCGGCCGATCGCCGAGGCTGGCACGAGTGTCCCGTCTGGCGTAGTTCCCATGATGCCCATCAGAGGTGGGACTGTCAGCTCTTCGGGGTGCACGTCGAGGTCTGGAATCAGAATCCAATACATCGCGCGGGTGTCCGTGTAGGGCTCGTCCGCCATGACTCGACGGTAGACTTCGAGCGGACAACGGCACACCACGACGCGGCGATGCCACAGGCGAGGCTGGTCGGAGTATCTCACCTGAACCTCGCGACCACCCAGCAGGTACTGACCGCCGAGCGCCACCGCCATTGCCGCCATTACCACAGGCCTGGTAGATCAACGTGAGCCCCAGGTCGAGCAAGACACCGAATAGGAGACACACCCTGCAGGCTTGATACGGTCCACCCAAGACTGAAATCTGGATCGTACAGGTCAAGCTCTGCCAGCGGCCGCAACACTGCAGATGCTAGAGACGGCACCCCCGCCACACTAGTGAGGATCCCCATAGGTTTGTGGCGCTGCCAGAAATGCACTTGAGCCGCGGAGGCGGCGGCCGAGTGGGAAGAGGAAAAGTGTTCATAGAACAAGTGCATGATCCGACATGTTCATATGCCATTGCCGCATGGCCTGCCAAAACTCGATACGGTGAACATTGGCAAAAAGCAGACGCTGAGGCTAACCAATCTTCATGGCAACACCACCCGAGACCACCATGAGCAGGGAAACCGCCTGGGGCCTCTCAAGGATGCGCTTGAACAGGGAGGACCACGAACTTGCTCCGCAGCAGCGACGCCACCGCCTGTTAGTTGGCCTCATCCAGAGTGGCAGCCATGGCACTCACGATGCAGACGAGCAAGGACGGCAAGCTTCTGAACGAGAGTATCAACTCCATCGACTCCACCTAGCAACGCCCACACCATCGGTTGGATTTACCCAAGCCGCTCACGACCATCACGGGCCCCGCGATCCCGACGCCAAACTATGCGAGCGTCACGCTATTGAGTCCGACGGCGTCACGACATCTTGAGCTTTAAAGAAAGGTACCCAGGACGCTGCTCCTGAAGGAGCTCTCGATCTGATAGAGCCAACGTGTGCACTCGGGGTGGAGCATGCGTCCACAGTCTGGACGGACAGGCTCGAGAGGAGGCTCAAAATGAAACTGAAATGGGTCCACATCGCCCACAGGGCCGATAATATCTCAGGCCAAGACGGCTACGCACGGGGCAAGATGGGGAGGCGGAGAGCTGGCCGTGGGTGAGAGGAGGATGGTTGATCAGGAAACGGACGGGGGCGAGGGGGAAAGGAAGTGAAAAGGGCAGAGGGAAACAGGGAACTGGTGCTCAGCGAGAGGCCGGAGAAGCATGAGTTCCTTCCAACCTCCCTCGTGCGGGCCTGAGGCGACCTTCGAGCGCTGCACAATGGCCCTCTCCAACACCGGCCGCAGCTTCTCGCACCAACGGCAGTTCTGCTGGGAGAACACTATGACCACCTGGGCGCAGCGCACGGCAGCTCCTGCCGCCCCACCCCCGGATTTCCGGACGTCCACGAAGAGCACTTGTGTGCTGAGGTCGGCGCTTGGATGTCGTTTTTAGGCCCATGGACTCCAAACAACGAACTCCACAGCGAAAAAGAAACATTTCGAAGATGGGATGGAGAGGTCTGGGTGCCCATGTCGTGAAACAAATCGCGACGTGGACTTTTATGGGCCCTGCCCGCTCGAGATGTGGGTCCGGAATAATGGACCCCCCAGGTTTCACCGCAACGCCAAAAAATTGACGATGTTTCGATGATCGTCGGCTGGACAAGAGCCGGCTCCAGGCTATAACCCATTGGCGATGCATTGCTGATGCAGTGCGATGTGGGCGCCCTGTTTCCCCTACTTACGTTCGACGTCGTTACACCATCACGACGAATTCGTGAAACAACCACTAGCTTGACCCAGTAGTCCAGTGATCAAATCTTCAACGGCCTTGGGGTCACGAAGCAGGCGACGCCCTGATGCCACGTTTCGCGCTCCCTCCCTCCAATCCGTTGGCGATGGACGTCTCCCAGGATTGGTCCGGACCGGGACCCCGAAACTGATCCAAACGTGTAACGGGCCCCGTCCGAGGCCCCGCGGCCCTTGTCGGTCCCCTCTTCCTCCTCATCCTCCGCCTCTTCCCCGGGAGGGGGTTCAAAGATGGCTGGCCCAAGACTGCGCCAACCCGGGTCAGCCAGGGGCACGTCGCGAAGACAGGCTGGCCAGGAGAACGTTCCCACAACTGGGTCAGCGGCAGGAGAAGAGGAAAGGGGATGGCTCTGCACGGCTCCCAGAGCAGAAATTCAGGAGGGGAGCCGTTGACTCTAATTACGTAGGATGCGCACCCCGCTTGTGCCACTGGGGGAACCAACGTGCCCAGGCACCGTTCACACAATCATATTTGACAGCATGGGCCCTAAACAATACGTTATTTCACTGTGGATACGCAAGGTTTCTGGCGCAAGATGTGTGGTGGGAGCAATCTGGTGGAAGCTATGTGGTACAAGGTGTGTGGCGCAACGAACGCGGCGCAACCTATGCGGTGCGGTGCAAGCTCGGTGGTGAGATTATGGTGCGGGCTATGCGGCGCAATTAACGCCGCGCAAAATGCGTGGTGCAAGTTCCGCAGTGGAATACATGTGGCACAAACAAATATGCGCAACTGGGGTGGTGCAGTCCACGTAAGTCGTGCACACAATGCGGTGCAATATACATGGTGCAAGGTTCGTGGCCCAATCAAGGTCGTGCAAGCGATGTTGTCAGTTCGGGCGATGGGCGGCAACAAAACGCCCACCAGCGGCAACGTGGGGAAACCTCGGAAGGCACCCGCAAGCGCGATGGCCGGTAACGAAACGCCCACATGCGGCAACGACTTCCCCAAGCGCCCGAACGCAGTGGGCGGCAGTGGGCCTGTGAAGGCGGCCAGGCTCACGTCCGTTTTTCGGGCCACCGTAGCTCGCACGAACGCCCCGAGGGAAAACAAACAAAAACAAAACAAACAAACCTTTTGCAATCGTCCGTCGCGTCGCCGACGATGGGCGGCACGCGCGCGCGCCCCTTTGCTTCAGTCGGTCGGGAACCAATGACGCGGCGGCGGCGATGCCTCCCGCCGGGCGCAGCAGCAGGAGGACGGGCAAAGGAAAGGCGGAAAGAGAAAGAGCAGTGACAAACCCGCGACCCCCCAAAGTTCTCGCGGGACACCGTCAAAAACACACATGCGCCAATAACGGAGGGTAAAAAACATACCCCGCCTGAAAACCCCAACTTGGGGTCTCTTGGGCTAGGTTCACCCATGGCCCCACCCAGGAAGAGCGAGGGGGGAAGACCACCCAGGACCTAGAAACCAAAAACGGGAGCCACCTCACATGGGGCAGTGGGGAACAGCGGGAGAAGCCCCGCCCTTGGGCGGGGCGGCCGCGCGGCCCCTGTCAAAGGGCCCTACCTCATGATCTTCGCGAGGAAGGCAATTGGGAACATATGGAACGCGTGCACGAAGTCAGCGGACATCGCCCCGCTGGCAAATGCAATTCTGCAGAGGGTGCGCGAACAGCATCACTACGAAGAGGTTGCAATTGAAACCGACAAAGTCCATATGCATATGGCCAAAGAAAGCCAACGACAAACACGATAACTCAAGCCGAATCGAGCCGCAAGAGGGAGGAGCGATGAGAGACGCGAAAGAATGAGGCAACAGAAAAAATACACAGGAAACGTGCGACACCAAAATAAGAAGTCCAAGGACGACGCCAAGGAGCTCGAAATGTGCAGAACCTGCCTCACGGCAACTGGCTTCCCCATCGCAAGGAATACCGTCGCTCGGCCTCCACGCGCTGTTTTGCGAGCGGTCCTAGGGCCGGGAATGCTGGCCCCTACTGATAATTGTATCGTTGGCTCCAGGGCCCCGCGGGCGGCGTCTCGTCGGAAGCTGGCGCGGGACTACCTAGCATAGGCCGCTGGGATCTCGATCGAGAGTCGGGCGCCAATGCGAGCCTCGTTCTGCCGAGTTAATGACTCGGACAATGCGCGATTGAAAACTGCAAACAGCACGGCAACAAATAACGCCAAGTGCTGCACCACTGGGAATCGCCGCAAGTCGCGCAAGCTCGCATCCAACATCGCCTTCGCCCCAGACGCTAACCCCAACAAAATCCCCACAGAACCACGGAGACACCGGCGCGGCGCGAACATCGCGGCGCGTCGCGGCAGACAACATGTCCCCGGCGCCGGGTTCCCCTTTCCGCAGTTGATTCTGCAAGAAATTTCCCGGTCGCCGCGGGGACACACCTCGGCGGGCGCCTCGCGTCAGGTCTCCCGCCGCCGCGGAAAGAATCCTCGGCGAGCGCTTCGCGTCGGGTCCCTCCGCCGCCGCGGACACGAGCCTCGGCGAGCGTTTCGCGCCAGGGTCCCAGCCGCGAGACCGCGTGATTGACCCCCCCCTTTGGCGCGCCGCACCCTTCCGTTCCCCCCTGAAAGAGGGCTGCGCGGGACGCGGGATAGCCGACGGCGAACGCGAAGGCGGTAGTTTTGGCCGCTGGGTCACGTGCGCTGCTGCGGGCCAACTCGAACGTCATCGCCCAGAGTCGCTGTAGAAGCCGACCGCTCGCTACCGCGAGCCGGCTTCGGTGGCGGTGCCCTGCCGTTTGCTTGGTCGCCGTGGGGAAGTCTCCCCGCGCGCCCTGTCTCGGGCGTGCAAGGCGTCGATTCTCTCCGCTTGAAGGCCAAAGCGGACTGCTACGTGCTACGACACCAGGGCCAGGGCGGCCTCCTGAGGGCGAGCGTTCAGGGGACCAATTTTGTTATTGTTGTTTTTTTTCCGCGAGGCTTCTGCAGGCTTGTTTCCGCCGTTGCCAACGCGCGCGACGGCGCGTTTATCCCCGCGCCTGCAAAACCCAGCCCGCGTGGCGCTAGCAAGTCGGCCTGCGCCTATCTTCGCGCCGCGGTTTGGATCACTTCGCCTGTTGAAGCAAACACTTTCGCAGAACTTGCGATCTCCCGACCTGCCAGTCGGCCCTGTTGTCTTCTCCTTGATGTGCTTTGAATGACGCCGCGGGCAAACCTGCAATGTGCGCGCGCGCCCTTTTGGACCCAGGCGATGCGGGCCCCTTCGCTTGCCGACGTGGCTGAGCGGCCTTTTCTCCGCTGACACGAATTCCCTGCGCGCTGTTTACACATGCTGTCTCTCGAGGAGTTTGGCACATTTGTCGCAGAGCCATGCGTCGCTTTCCTTCCATCCTGCGATGCGCCCGCGCGTCGTGCTCGAAGCCGCGATGATATTTCATCCGTGCGCTGAGCAGGAGAGGAGGAATGGTCGACTCAGGTAGGGACTTCATGCGCAGGAGAGCGTAGCTCCAATCCTCAAACAAACTGCTGCGACTGTTGAGCTTCCTGCTGGTACAATCGAGGTGGGCGAAATCAATCAAACAACCGTCTGTTTCTGACAGCCTGCACCAATCCAAGATCAGAACAACGACTTGTCATCCTGTGACGAGCCGGCCTTCGGGCTCGCTTTCGTCCGTCCGTGCGCTGAAACTCTTTCTGAGGTCATGATGTCTGAAGACGTTGTTGCGTGGTGTGGTTATTTTCAAATCGGGCGTCTCGAACTCGCCGCTGTCCGCGAGGGGCTCATGCGTTTTAACGTTGCGCTGGGTGGGAGGACGCATGTGGACTCTATCATTGGAGCCATCGGGTGAGCTCCCTAAGGGGCCACGAAGCGCTGTACTGGGTGGGGGAGATGCATGTGGACACCGCCACTGGGGCCTTAGGTGGAACTCCTTATGGGGCCAACGATATGCTGTGCTTGGTGGGAGGGGGGGACGCATGTGGACACCGCCACTGGGGCCTCAGGTGGAGCTTCTTATGGAGCCACGAAGCGCTGTACTTGGGAGAAACGCATGTTCACACCGCCGCTGGGGCCTTAGGTGGAGCTCCCTATGGGGCCACGAAGCGCTGCGCTGGGTGGGAGAGACGCATGTGGACACCGCCACTAGGGCCTCAGGTGGAACTCCCTATGGGGCCACGAAGCGCTGTGCTGGGTGGGACACCGCCACTGGAGCTTCAGGTGGAGCTCCCTTTTGGGCCACCAAGCGCTGCGCTGGGTGGGGGGGAACGCATGTGGACACCGCCACTGGGGCCTTAGGTGGAGCTCCCTATGGGGCCACGAAGCGTTGTGTCGGGAGGGGGAAACGCATGTAGACACCGCCACTGGAGCCTCCAGTGGAGCTAAGTATGGAGCCAGCGATACGCTGTGCTGGGTGGGGGGAACGCATGTGGACACCGCCACTGGGGCCTCAGGTGGAGCTCCCGATGGAACCACGAAGCGCTGTGCTGGATGGGGGAGACGCATGTGGACACCGCCACTGGGGCCTAAGGTGGAGCTCCCGATGGGACCACGAAGCGCTGTGCTGGGTGAGGGAGACGCATGCGGACACCCCCACAAGGGCCTAAGGTGGAGCTCCCGATTGGGCCACGAAACGTTGTACTGGGTGGGGGAGACGCATGTGGACACCGCCACTGGGGCCTCAGGTGGAGCTTCCTACGGTCCAGCGAAACTGTGTGCTGGGTGGGGAAGACGCATGTGGATACCGCCGCTGGGGTCTCAGGTGGAGGTCCCTATGGGGCAACGAAACGCCGTGCTGGGCAGGGGAGACAGAGGCAGGAATGGGAGGAGGGAGGGGGGGGGGAAGGATGATGATGAGGATGAGGAGACGAGGATGACATCGTGTGCGAGCGCCCCTCGCGAAACCGACGATGGGTGGCGCGTACGAGTGCCCCTATGCCTGCCGTTCGGGAACCAATGCTGCGGCGGCGGGCGATGCTTCCCGCTCGGTGCAGCAGCAGCTGCAGAAGCAAGCCCAGACAGACCCGCGACCCCACGAAACCCTGACGGGGATACCGGCAGAAACAAACGTGCGCCAAAAACGTCAGGTTAAAACACGCTGAAGTGTGTGCGTGTCCCGCACTTCGAGGAACCTCCCAGGAGCCCCCCCCAAAACCGGCGACAGCCACGTGGGCGCCACCAGGGCAGGCGAATTCTCATCTGACCTGGGCCTCCGCAGCCCTGCCCTCCGCCGGACCCTAAGAGAGCGCACGAACGTCGCAACAGCTCCGCGGTTGGCGGCGCCCATGGAAGGCGCGAGGCCTCAGTTGGGTCTGCGTATCCCCGCACACCGCTGGACCTCCCAGGAGCTCTCGCGAAAGTGGCGACAGCTGTGCGCGGTTGGCAGACCCCGGGGGAGAGGCGTGGCACGAGGCAGGCAGAAAGCTACGAAGCAGTGCTCTGTCCAGAATGGATGCGCATTTGCCCAACCGAAGCCCTCCCTTGGAAAAGCTGGGGTCAGTGTGGGCCAGGGTCACCGTTCCGCGGCTCTCTGGAATTCTTCAAGTTCTGGGGGCCTCGAAAGGCTCCCGCGGCCACCCAACTCCCGGAGGCCCCCGAAGGAAAACGTGACCAGAATCCTTGATCCTCGAACCTCGAATCCCGAGCCGACAACCTCTGGCCGCCGCCGACCGTGGGAAGGAACACGCATGCCGAGCACGACGACAACGACGACGATGAAAACGGCATAGCTCCATCAGCAAACGGACACTAGCAATCTCGACAACGATTGCAAGCTGAGTCCAAAACTAATCGCAGCCCGCCGCCAGACAAAATCCCTGGAGCCTTTGGCATGTTCGGGCGCACGCGCTCGGAGGCCTCCAGGAGCTCCTGTGGAGGCCCTGTGGAGGCCTTCGGCAACCCCAAAAGGCCCAGAGACGCCACAAAACATGGAACTTTCGGGTGGGGGCGACGGCAACCTCCGACAACATCCTACCTCCCAGAACCCTGAACCTCGAGCCGACAACCTCCGCATTGGGGACGGGCACAGGGACGGGGACGGGGACGGGGACGGGGACGACGGGGGCCGAGCGCGGACCCCGAGGGCGACCTGTTCGCGCCCAGACCGCATCGCACCCGTCATCGCCTCGGAGAGGCCCCGCGTCCAGTCCGCAGCCGGCGGGGCACCTGTCCCGCGGGGCCCTCCCCGCCCGCCCCCCTCTCGGGCACTGCGCTGTGAGCATCATGGGCCGATCTGTGTCTGGCAGCGTGTGTTTCCGAGGGTGAGTAGGAGGTCGCGGCCGGAAGAAGTGTAACCAGCATGGTTGCCAGCCCAATGCGATACAATTCTACGACAACGTGATGGGAAAGACTCGAGATCTGAGGAAACACTAGAAAAAAGACAACAATGCGTTGTGAGCATCGCGCGATGACCATTATAGATACATCGTCCACAACCTTGAGGCCTTGACGCCTGGGGCACTCACGAGCGACGAACTCACATCCGGATCCGTGCCCTCGCGACATGGGATCCGAGGCGCGAGAACGCCTGCGTGCGATCCTGAGGCACCAGGAGTCCGACAGTCGAACTCAGCCGAGGCCCAATAGCAGACAGACGGCAAGCAGAGGGCGGAAGCCGCACTGGAACGGGCAAAAAGAGGGAGGAGAAGCACGCGTCGACTGTGTAAGGACCCGACCCATGTGTTCCTCCTAGCCCCATCCCTGCTGCGGCTTGCCCTCCTTCGCCGCTCCATGCCACCTCCTCCATCTCTACTGCTCCTCCACCTCCTCACATTTCTCCCCCATCCGTCCCCGATCCTTGCAGCCCCTTTTTTCACATCACCCCGCTTCTCTTCTGCTCGTCATCCTCCTCCCCCTCCTCCAACTTCCTCTCCTCCTCCTCCTCCTCCTCCTCCTCCTCCTCCTCCTCCTCCTCCCTCGCTCGTCGTCGCCATCGTCCTCCTCGTACTCCCTCTGCCTCCCTCCCGGCAAAAAGAAAGGGGAGGACGAGGGGAGGCTTACTTCGCCAAGCGGTGGTCCCTCGTGGCTACGGCTGGACGCAGCTCGAAGAACTGGCCCCCGGAAGTCTCGACCCCTTCCCTGCGACTGGCTTATCTTATGGAGGCTCCCAGGGACTGGAAACTGCCCCCCAAACCGAAGACGCAGAAATATTATCCTGGCACAGGGCCCAACCATATGCAATAGTGAATGCCGCATCTGTGAAGGTTTCCTTCGGTGGGGCTACCTATGGGGCCACGAATCGCGTGGCTGGGTGGGGGGGGATGCATGCGGGCAATAGCAGTGGGGCCGTCGGTGGAGCTCCGTATGGGGCCATGAAACGGTGCACAGGGTGGGGCGGACGCGCGCGGGTGGCAACACCGGAGCCGTCGGTGGAGCTCCCTGTGGGGCCGCGAAACGCTGTACTGACTGGGGGGACGCATGCGGGCGGTAGCACTGGGATCTTCAGTGGAGCTCCGTGGGGGGCCACGAAGCGCTTCACTGCGGGTGGTAGCGCTGGGACCTTCAGTGGAGCTCCGTTGGGGGCCACGAAGCGCTGTACTGGGTGAGGGGGACGCAGGCGGGCGGTAACACTGGGACCGTCGGTGAAACTCCCTATGAGGCCACGAAGCGGCGTACTGGGTGGGGGGGACGCTTGCGGGCACCCCCACAGGGGCCTTCGGTGGAGCTCCCCATGGAGCCATGAAGCGCTGTATTGGGTGCGGGGGGCGCATGCGGGCACCGCCACTGGGGCCTCCGGTGGCGCTCCCTATGGGGCCACGAAACGCAATACTGGGTGGGGGGGACGCAGGCGGGCACCCCCACTGGGGCCTTCGGTGGAGCTCGCTATGGGGCCACGAAGCGCTGTACTGGGTGAGGGGGTACTGCGGGCACCCTCACTGGGGCCTTCGGTGGAGCTTCCTATGGGGCCAGGAAGCGCTGTACTGGGTGTGGGGGACGTCTGCGGGCACCACCATTGGGGCCTTCGGTGGAGCTCCCTGCGGGGCCACGGAATGGTGTGCTGGTTGGGGGGGGGCCGCATCCCGGCACCCTCGGGACCTTCGGTGGAGCTCCCTGTGGGGCCACGAAGCGCTGTGCTGGGTATGGAGGACGCATGTGGGTACCCCCGATGGGGCCTTAGGCTCCTTGTGGGGCCACGAAGCGGGGTACTGGGTAGGGGGGACGCATGCGGGCACCCCCAGTGGGTCCTTCGGTGGAGCTCCCTATGGGGCCACCAAGCGCTGTACTGGGCGGAGCGCGTTTGTTCATTTTCGGCGACAAAAGCGTATTATTGGGGGGGGAGAGGGTCGGGGGGGTATAATGTAATGCCTCCCCCCGTGTGGCTTCGGCACCACAGCCGCGCCCGCGCGCACGACGACTATGAGCGACGAGCGACGCGACGACAACGACGACGACGACGACGACGGCGACGACGACGACGACGACGACGACGACGGCGCGAGCAGCATGTAGGTGGCAACCTGCCCCACAACGCCTGTGTACACCACAATGCCCGCGAACACCAAAGAGCGCGTCTACGCCACAGCGCCTGCATAGACCGCAACAGCCGTGTGCGACGCAACGCCTGTGTACACCACAATGCTTGCGTGCACCACAGCGCCGGTATACACCACAGTATCCGCGTGCACGCAGCGCTGGTGTACACCACAGTGCCTGCGTGCACAGGGCAGGTAGAACGAGCATGTAGGAGAGGATTTGCTGCGGACAGCGAAACGCCACGCCAGGAAACTGCCGATCATAGAGTGCGACATTCTTCTCTTCTCCCTCCTCCACCTCATCCTCCTCCTCCTCCTATGCGGATTCCTATGCGGACGCCGATGCGGATCCCGATGCGCACGGCGGCAGTGCCCGGAGCGCACTGGGAGGGAAGGGGCGTTCCGTTATAGGGGTTGAGAGGGGGGGCCGGTTGGCTATAATACCCATTATGCCCCAAGCAATAAAGAAGCACGCTCGTGTGGGGGACGCATGCGGGCACCCCCACTGGGGCCTTCGGTGGAGCTCCCTATGGGGCCACGAAACGTGTGAGGGGTGTGCCAAGGTGAGGAGGGTGACGGTGGTGGGCACAGGCTTGGAAGCAAGATCGCGTATGCCGAGGGTGACGGGAGGAGGGAGGAGGGGGGGGAGGGGGAGGTGGAGGAGAACAGTAGCGTATGTTGTGGCGATGCCCGTGTCTGAGCCTGCTTTCTCCCTCCTTCGCCTGGTCCTGCATGCTTCTACCTAGATGCCGAACAAACTTGTAACAACTACAAGAGTGGAGGACGGGTGGTTGCGAAAATGTAGCTGCCGCGTTAGCGCCAAGTGCAGTTGTCTTAAAGTATGCAGCACTTGTAAGGGTGGAGGTCGGCGCATGTTCAACATGTGGCTCTCGCACAAGACTTCTTCAACGTTCGCAATGAACATGTGGAACATATCGAACAACTGCACGGATGTAGGCCAGCCTATTTTCAAACTGGGACCAGCATTCTTCAACTTGTGGCCAGAGGTTTGCACGGTGTGGGAGCATGGGCTTCTCTTTAAAGCGGGCGCTCGTTGGACGCACTGCTGAGCTTTAGGACCATGCATGTTCACCTTCTGTTTCAATTCGCTAGAAGGACGCATGGCAGTTCCTGCCCACAGGCCCATGAGGTGCTCGTCTCTCGAAGGGAGCTCTTCTTGTGGTGGAACAGTAGGCTTGAGACAACTGGAGATGAGGGGACTTGGGACGGCAGGCTGTATTGCAGCATAGTTGGCATATCTGGCCTCATTACCCCTGACCCCCTGGCGCCCTCCGAACCCACAGCAGCCCCAAACACCTCCAGTTTCTTCTCCCCCCCCCTGCTTTTCGCTCAAATGCCCCCTGTCACCCGTCCCTACGCGCGCTCAGCCCACAACCATCCCCTTCCTTCTCCTCCTCCCTCTCCTCCTCCTCCTCCTCCTCCTCCTCCTCCTCCTCCTCCTCCTCCTCCTCATCCTCGTTGATACTATCAGCATCATGATCATCACCACCATCATCCTAATCACCATCAGCACTATCACCATCACCATCGCCATCATCATCATCATCATCATCAATACCACCGTCACCATCACCATCACAATCGAAAGCAAAATCACCACCACCATCATCATCACCACCATCAGCATCACCAACACCACCACTACCAGAACCACCATCATCATCGTCATCATCCTCATCACCGCCACCATCATCACCATCATCCTCATCATCCTCATCCTCATCCTCATCATCAGCATAATCATCATCAGCAATTTCATCATTCCCAGCATCGTCACCAACATCATCATCAACAGCACCCAATCTCCGGCGCCTGCCCGCTGCCCCCCCCCCCCCCCGCGACACCTGTTGGCTGCCGCGGGTCTTGCTGGAGCGAGCAGACACCTCCTGAGTGGGCGCACGCCAGCCTCCCGATCTGGAGGCCGCCCAAGAAGGCCCTTGGCAACGGAGGTCCGAGGACTGCACCGCCTCCTCGACACACCGGTTGAGAAACTCGGGCTGCGGGTCGCGACGCACCGCCGACGTCTGGGCGATGCGGCGCGATCCCCCGACCACGTCTCCGCTGGCGCAGTTTAAGCGGCCTGGATCCCCACCATCCTCATCAGTGTACAGTGTGTTCTTCTTCGTGCTATCGAGCGCCCCGCAATGTCACATCTCATCATCCTGCTTCTAATCCGCCTCCTCCGCCACCTCCACCGCACCCACCCTCCTTCCACAACCCAACTTCCTCAGCCCCCCACCTCGCTTCTTATCACACACACATCCTCCGCACCTCCTCAAGCACCTCCAACCAGCCCGCTCCATCGACCATTTGCCTTCACATCCACAAGACCACATCAATATCAGAATCTCTCTCCCACTCCCTGTGATTTATCCTGCATCACCTTCTTCCCGCTTCCCTCCATCAATCCTCCTTGCTCTACAATCTCCCATCATCCCTCCGTCTCCTTCCTTCTCCGTGTATATTCCCTCATCGCTACGTCGTCCATCCTAACGCCATCCTCCTCTTCCTCCTCGAGGGGTGACGAGAGAAGAAACAAGAACAACAATGACGACATGGGTGGGGACAATGACGACTTCCGCAAACGTCTGAACTTCTCTGGCACGCACAATTAAGCCGATGGACGCCTCCGAACGACCTCTAGGACGACTGCGAAACCGACAGCGACGACGAGGACGACGATAGCGACGATAACGACGGCCACGAGGGCGACGATGATGGAAACGGTGACGAGGATAACGTCGACGACGGCAGGGGCTAGTATTAAGGATTTCAACTCAGTCGTACGACGAAAAGGGAGAGCAGGAAGAGGGACAGAGGAGGAACAGAGGGGGAGGGAGAGGCCGTCTAATAATATGTAGGCCATGCAATCTAACAACAAGCTAAGCTTGCTCAAGCTCGGCGTCAGCAAGTCAAGGAGGCCTTAGCAACAACCAAACCAACAGCAGCAACAACAACAACCACAACAACACAAACAACAACACCAACATCAACACCAACAACACCACCAACAACAACAACCAAGATAGCCTCAGGACGGCCCAAGAAGCCTCCAAGACGTCCCCAGAGAGCTCCGACTCCGAGAGAACCCAAACAGGGGCCCAAAAGGCCAACATCGCCCAAATCCCACACAGCCTCCAAAACGGCACCCAAGATCAATCCAGGATGGCCCGAGAGGTCTCTAAGAGGGCTCCAAGGCGCCCAAGACAGTGTCAAAACGGCCCCAGAGGCGCCCAAGATGGCCCAAAAAGAAAAAGAGCATCAAGAGGGGGGACCAAGAGGGGGGACTCGAACTTGCCTGTCGAGCCCTCCGCCGCAGGAGGATCCCAGAGACTGCAGGCAGGCGCCCAGCAAACCCACAAGAGGCTCCAAGAGGACCAACTGATTCCCCAATAGGCCCCTCACACAAGTCCCAAAAGGCATCGAGCCTCACCCTGGGGGTCGGGGGAATAGCGCAGATCACTAAAGTAACAAAATCTCAAGCGAGAGTCCCAAGTTGAAAACGAGTCGCGCTAAATACTTGTAACTGTTGCACATGTTGCCGCTTGTGGCAACTGCTGCACCCTGATATTTCTTGCGGAAATCTCGAGCGATAACTCAATTCGACAACGGACCGGCCCCCATCCGTGTAACAGCTGGACGCCTTTAGAACGAATGTGCGCGGCGCCAAGGCGAGAGGCATTTGTTGAAAAGGAACGGCCCCCATCCTTGGAAGCTTTGAACAGGAATGCGGGCGCAAAGGCGAAATCCACATTTGACAAGGCACCGCCCGGCGAAGGCCGATACGTTCTTCGGCTTCTTCCGCCGTGTCTTGCAGCATCCTGGTTTGTGATGTCCAAGTTTCACTGCTAGGCCTGGCACCGAAGCCTCGGCCACACCGAGAACCGCTGTCCTGTCAGCCGGCAGGCCACGGCCTCGAACCGAGGTGCATGACAGGATCTGGGATCCAGGATCAAGGCTTGGGGACCAAAGGCTCTGGGGCGCTCTCTTCCCCGTCTTTCGGGCATAACTATGTGAAGCCTCTCGTCGCCGCAGCTGGATCCGCACGGAACTCGAACGCACCCCTGGACAACAGTTTGGAGGCGCCTCCCGCATATCCTGGCCAGGCTCCAGCTTATGTCCCTATCCCTGAGAGGGGCAGGCCAAGCTCGATGACAATCAAAGGTGACACCCTCGGGCTTCTGCTGACCCGGGTCGGTGCAAACCTAGGTCAATCGGGCCTTGCGAGATCCTGCAGGATCCTGCACAATCCTGCACGCAAGCACGGGCCAGTGCACCCCTGGCCCTGTAGCATCCTGCAAAGTCCAACGGTCTGGCTGACCCCCGTTTGCATTGCCCCCCGTCTCTTGGGCCCCGCAAATCGGGCCGGGCGCAAGGGGGGGATAGCAAAGGGGGGGTTTGAGAATCAGCTCACGCAGCTGACTTTCCCGGCGCCTCCCGGCGCCGGGAGGCGCCCATGTATCGAGGAGTAGGCCCCATGGGTGGGGCCGAAGCCAGCTGCATGCAGCAGATTTCGTAACCCCCCCTTTCCCAGTCGTTTTTTTTCAATACGCGGTCCCGCCCCATTCTCTAGAACCGGCTGTTCATCCCGAGTCGTTTTTTGACGGTCCCGGGGCCCGGCGAGGGCCCCTAGAGAGGCCGAAAATTGAGAAAAACCTCCGTCTTGATTTTTTCAATACGTCGGATCTCTGGGTTCCCTGTCCCCCTCGTCGTCCCGTCCGAGAGAAACCCCCGGCCAGGCCCTCGGGCCCGGGCGCCGCAAGCACAGCCCCGCGACGGACGGCTGCCCGCCGTGCCCGGCCTCCCGGGGCCGCTCCCCGACCGCGGGGGCCGCCGCAGAGAGCCACGCGCTCAAGTCGGGCCTGTCCCCCTGCAGGAGGAGTTTGCAAAAGTAGCAGAAAAAATCGCCCAGGGACGACTTTTGGACCATGAGTGGCCATTTTTTGGCATATGTTTTGGGTACTTTTCATCTGTCGTCCGAAAGCCCCCTGTAGGAGGACAGGAGGAGTATGCAAAAGTAGTAGAAAAAATCGCCCAGGGACGACTTTTGGACCATGAGTGGCCATTTATTTTGGCATATGTTTTGGGTACTTTTCATCTGTCGTCCGAAATCCCTGTAGGAGGACAGGAGGAGCATGCAAAAATATCAGAAAAAATAGTCTGGGGACGACTTTTGGACCATCAGTGGCCATTTTGGCAAATGTTTTGGGTCCTTTTCATCTGTCGTCCGAACTCCCCCTGCAGGGGGACGGGCCCGACTCACAAACCACGGGGTGGGAGGCCGCCCCCGGGCAGGGGCCGGCACCCGAGGCGAGGGAGGGGGGGGGGGGGGGGCGGGGCGAGGGCTGCAGCCCTCCGAGAATGCGGGGGCAAGAGGAGCCGGCCTCGACTCGGGGCATCGGATCGGATCGGAGCGCGCACAGCGCGGACGCTGTCGCGCAAAGACCCCCCCGCAGGAAACCCAACCCTGAAAACCCGCGCGCGCGCGATGTTGACTGGAGGGGGAACCTGGAGCACCCTGAGCGCAGCAGCTCATTCAATGGCCGCGGGAAGTCGCCGCGCAGCGCACGGAGCGAAGAAACCCAGGATACCCTGACGAAAAGCAGATGGTCTCTTGATGCGCGCCCCCACTTGATCGAATCTGACCGCATCGGTACGGAGTCCGGATCGAATCGAATCGAATCGGCGGCGCCAGAGTGCACAACAGCGCCGTGCAGACATCGGATCGCATCGGATCGCCCGAACATCGGAACCGAGTCGAATCGATCAGGACCGGCCAGAGCTGGCACATCGAAGCGAACGGACCAAGCTGGGTCCTGAGGGGTCAGGTCCTCGCGTCGACGAGCCACCTCACCGATCCCGTCTGGGCCGACTCTGCGCCCAGGGCCGCCCCACGTGCCTCCCTGGCCGAGCCAGAGGGGCCAGCGCACCGATCCTGGGCCCACGACGTGCCTGGCCATGACCACCTACCGAACCACGCCAGCCCAACCCGAAGACACGGATTTGACCCGAACGTCGGGTGGGGGAGGGGGGTACGGGCTCCATGTGCGCTTTTTCAATGCTCCCCGACTCTCCCCCCACTGGACATGGAGGGCGAATTGAGGCCTTCGGGTTTGGTTGGGGTGGTCTGGTGGGTGGTGAGGCCAGGATCGGAGAGGTGGACGGTGGGCGCCCCCCGACTCGTGTGGACGCGCTCGGAGGCATCCTGCCCTCGAAGAAGGTCGCCCCCCTCGGTCCGGGCGCAGGAGGGGTTTGAGAATCAGCCCACGCAGCTGATTTCCCCGGCGCCTCCCGGCGCCGGGAGGCGCCCATGCATCGAGGAATGGGCCCCATGGGCGGGGCCGAAACCAGCTGCATGCGGCAGATTTCGCAACCCCCTCTTTCCCAGAGATCCGATGACGTGTTTTTTTTTCAATACGCGGTCCCCCGAAGTCTCGCCCCATTCTGTAGGACCGGCTTCTCATCCTGAGTCGTTTTCTGACGGTCCCGGGGCCCGGCGAGGTCCCTATAGAGGCCGAAAATCAAGAAAAAACCTCCGTCTTGACTTTTTCTATACGTCCCCCCCGTTCGTCCGGCCCGACCCACCCCACGCCATCCTGCGCTGCGCCGAACGGCGTAAAGACGCAACAACCGCCCAGCCGTAACCTCTCGGAGGTCCGCGCGGACCTCCGGGGTGGGCCGCTGGGACCCCCCATCGCGCGCCAGGGGAGGGGCAATACCACGCCGTCCCAAGAAATTCGAGCGGATCTCCAGAAATTTGACCCTCTGTCGTTTGGCCATCATCGAGGACTGGGCCGCGTCCGCTACGGCCGCGAAGAGAGCGCCGTCGCGTCTGTTGGGCAGGGACCAACCGTCCCGGCATTCCTGTAGTCCTGCCACGAGATGTTCGCAGAACCCCAGAATGCTCTAACAACAAAAACACTGTTCTTCGAATACAAGCCCGATGTGATAAAACAAGACAGACTCCGCCAGATATGTTCTGAGAACATCTCGTGGAACCCAGAATACAAGTCCTTAGAACACTGTTTGGTGGGGCTATCGGCGAGCCAGCACGCTTCGCCACTGCTTGACCCAGGGACATGTTTTTTATTATTTGTTTGACTATTGTGGAGCATTTTTTTGAACTATGTTTTAGGTATGGTTTGGCTATGTTTGAGCATGTTTGGAAATGTTTTAGGTATTTGTACTTTTTCGCCCAAGCTCCCCCTGTCGGGGGACATGCCCGACCTAAGCCTTGGCAGGGCCGCCGCCCTCGGGGCGTGTGCTCCGCCCCGGGGAGCAAGACGCTGGAGTGCCTGAGCCTGCCACAGACCCGTCGGGGATCTCCTGACCCGGGTCAATCCAGACCCAGGTCAGTCAGGCCTGCAGGATCCTGCAAGCTCCTGCAAGATCCTGCACCCAAACCCGGGTCCATGCGAATGCTCCTGCAGGAGATCCTGCGCCCCAAAGCCAGGGTCACAATGCGACCCTGGCCCTGCAGGATCCTGCAAGATCGGGCGCTCTGGCTGACCCCCGTTGGCATCGACCCCCGCCTCGAGGCTCCCGAACCCGAGGCGCAGGAGGAGGAACCAGGAGGAACCAGGAGGAGGAGCGAGGAGGAGGAGGAGGAGGAGGAGGAGGAGGAGGAGGAGGAGGAGGAACCAGGAGGAGGAGCGAGGAGGAGGAGGAGGAGGAGGAGGAGGAGGAGGAGGAGGAGGAGGAGAAGGAGGAGGGCGCCCGTCGAGGCCTCGGCCGAGGCCTCGGCCGTGGGGCCGCTCCTGCCGCACACACCAGCTCGCCGGACAGCGCGGGCCCGGCCGGCGCCGCAGCCGGCGGCCCGGCGCCCGCAGCGGCACCGCCGCCCGCGGGGGCCCGGTTCAGGATCCTGCGGGCCGCCCCTCCGCCCAGGGAGCGGGGGTCGGACAGGGGGCCACATGCGGACCCCGCCCCATTACCCCCCACGATCCTCTGAGGGGGAGGGCGGGGTTCACTTCGCTCGGGAGCTCCTGGGCGAAGTGGACCCCACCCTCCCCCCCAGAAGTCGTGGGGGTAGGGGTGTAGGGTTCGCATGTGGCCCCCTATCGGAGATCCGGGGCTTGGGATGTCTCCGGGGCCTCCGTGCCGAGGGGAGAGCTGGAGGCCTGGAAAGTGATACCAGCACCAGCACAGGGAATGGCCTCCACATGGGGAGGATGACCCTAGAGTTCGGCGTTGGCGGTAATATTTCGGCCACCCTGGAAGCCAGAATATTACCACCATCGCCGAGATCGGGATCTTTCTTCCCTCGGCGGAGGCACACCGCCGAAATTGGTGCTGGTGTCAACCTCTAGGCCTGCGAGAGAGATCGAGAAGGGTCAGCATGGATGAGGCGGGTCATGAGGGCAACTGGTCCTGGACCCCGGGGCCTTCCCCCAGGACGAGTTCATCCTGAGACCTTTCCTGGCAGTCTCGGGGCCCGTGGAGGGCCCGAGAGCCCGAGCACGGGGAAAACCTCAGCACACGCTTCCCGCAGGACCCGCTTCCACCATGGCGAAATTTTAGCAGGGACCGACCGTCCCAGCATTTGTGTAGTCCTACCACGAAATGTTGTTAGAATCCAAACATGTTCGCAGAAAAAAACAATGTTCTTAGAACATGAACCCGATGTGTTAAAACAATACGCTCCCAGCCAGAAATGTTCTAAGAAAATTTCGTGGGGACCACAGTAGGTTCTTGGAATGTTGTTTGGTAGGGCTATAGGCGAACCAACACGCTTCGCCACTGCTTGAGAGGAAGCGGGTCATGAGGGAAACGGGTCCTGGAACCTGGGGCCTTCAACCAGGACGATGTTCATCCTGAGACCTTCTTTCTGGCAGCCCCAGGGCCCGTGGAGGGCCCGAGAGCTCGAGCACGGGGAGAAAACCTCGGCACACTTTCCCCGACGGCCCAGGAAGGCCCCCCGAGATCGCCCCAAGACCGCCCACGAAGCCTCCAGGATGGCCCCCGTGACGGCCCCTATAGGAGGCCCCTCCGAGACGGCCCCCCGGGCGGGCCCCGGCCCGCTTCCCCCGTGGCGAGAGGGAGGGCCACCGGGAGATCTCTGGGCCTCTCACTGCCGAGGCCACCGGGAAGCTCTCCGGAGCACGGCGGGCCGCCCCCCTCTGCCACTGCAGAGGGCCCAGGGACGCACAAAGAAGTAGGCACAGATAGCAGGATTCCCATTTTTTTCCCATCTTTTCTGAGCTGTTGTCTCCCCCCCCCACTTCCCATGTCGTCCCATATCTTCCTGGGAGTCGTCGATGAACTGTGCCTGTGTGTGTGTTTTCCCCTCCTGAGCCATGGTTCCAGGATCGAAGATCGAGGCTCGGTCCGAGTGCGGAGGCCCTTTGGGCGCCTCCAGGAGCCTCTGGATGACGTCTCTTGACCTCGGCCTCTGGGGAGCCATTATGGGACGCACAGGGACACACTAATACTATATGTCCTGCTTGTAGGCGCGCGTCCGACCCGAACATATAGTACACCCATCTTGTAGTAGATCGTTTCCCGAGCGGTGTGGCCAGGAAGCGCCCGCCACGACCCATATACTACAAGATTCCTCGGTGCGCGCGTCGCCCCTGGGGGGGGGCGACGCACATATAGTATAAGCATGCTGGGGTGACGCCGACATTACACCTCTCACGTCGTGGAATTGTCACACCTGCTTTCAATTTTCGGCCTCCGGGGCCTGGCTCCGAGCCCACCGGCTGTCGGAAAACGACTCGGGACGGAAAGTCTGTTTCGCAGAGTGGCCGGGAGCTCTGGGGTCCAGGACGGGGAGGAGACGAGGGGAGGGAAGGAGAGGAGTACGACCACCACCACCACCTAAGAGCAGGGGGTCAGGGGTAGTGTAATGTCAAGGTCAGCTACCTACAAGAATGCAGTATGAACATGCAAGGTGCAGAGACCGCCTTGAGTGCAGGGTACCCTTCGACCGAGGAAGCACGCAACGCTACCAGCATGCCCATAACCGAGAGATGCAAGGGCCCTTTGCTTCAGAGGCTCGTCATCAATGCTGGCCTGTTTATATTTTGGGCGCTTTCGCGCCCTGCGCACCGGCATCAAACAGATCAGCGATTACTGCACCCTTCAGGTGCTGGGTGAAGTTCCTGCTCTGCAGGGCAGGGAGAACGATGGAGAAATTTGCCGCTGTCCCATCTTTCTGGTCCTCCGTGAGGGTTCCCGTCTTCGCGGCTGAATCCGCGGCGAGATCCCAGACAAAACGAGCTCCATGAGTCTGGGGGCCGACTTTGAGGGGGGAGGAGCACGAGGAAGGAAGGATGGGGGCGGAAAAAGGGAGACCAGGAGAAAGAGAAGAGGGAGTCAAGGAGGAGGGGTCACGGCTCACCTAGTCTCGCTTCTCACCTTCGCGCCCTAGCGCCCAACTCCTGGAGGAAGACAGCTCTCTGGCCTAGACCACGAAGCTCGAATGGCAATCAACTTCGCCCGCTCTCTGTCCATGTTGCCGTTCACATCGTCTCCCGTTCCTTCTTTCCGCTGCCTTCTAGTCTTCCTATCCAGTATGTTCCTTATAATCTTCCTGGTGCAACTGCCTGTCCTCCTCCAAACTGCGATCCGTCCCTCTCCTCGTCCTGCTCCTCCTCTATTTCCCAATCCGTCCTCCATCCTCTCCTTATCCGCCCCTGTCGTCATCCTCCAAATCTGTCCCCAAGAATGTCTGAAATGACGGGGGGAAGACGCAATCCAAAATCTTACTCAGACTCTGGCCCAACGTTCGGCCACGCAAGTGGTTCCAAAAGGCAGGGGGCCGCGGTGGTTCGCCGTGGGCGTCCTTGACCCGCCGCCCCCTGTTGCTTATCACAAGGGTGCTTGGCATGTCATGCGAGGCGGGGATTGATCCATATCCACCGTCTGGGAACCGCCGTCCTGGTGCCCCAGCGGGCGGTGGATGTGGATATATTTTGGCCCCCGGGGGCCCGAATATGTCCACACCCACCGCCTGCCTAGGCTCCGAAAACTGACCCTGCAGGCGGTGGTCATGTATAACTTCATGCCTCGGAGGCCGACAGTTGTACTACCATATCTGATGGAAACAATTGCTGGTCTAGGAGTTACCGTCGCCACCCCCCCCGGCTAACACTGGCCAACCCCTCAACGCAACCTGAGGCGGGCTTCAAGCGAGCGGGAGCGCTCGGGCAGAGCTTCCTGGCATCAACGCGCTCGCAGCGCGAGGACCATCGCGCGAACGCGGGCACGCATTCAGTGAACTTATTGGCAGACATGCTTGAAGTGGCCCTGAGACACACAAAGAAATAGACAGGATTCCCCATAGGTTCCCATATTTTCTGGGTTTTTGTCTTCCCCCATTACTTCCCATATTTTCCCGTATTTTCTCGGGAATCCACGATTCATTGTGTCTGTGTGTGTGTTCCCTCCCGAATGCTGGTCAGGCGATGTGCGCCGAACGCGAGCAGGCACGTTCGGGAAAAAAGCTTCCTGCCGGCAATGCTCTTTAGGCTTCCCCCTGCAATCACACCCTCCCCCTCTATTGGGGTGAGGCCGAGGGCATCCCGAGGTGTCAGACGGTTCTCGGGCCGGGCGAAAGCGGGGGATAGCAAAGGGGGGGTTTGAGAATCAGCTCACGCAGCTGATGTTCCCGGCCCGGCGCCTCCCGGCGCCGGGAGGCGCTGACGTATCGAGGAATGGGCCCCTCGGCGGGGCCGCAACCAGCTGCATGCCGCAGATTTCGTAACCCCCGCTTTCCCTATCCCCCCCTTTCGTTCGGCCCGAGGTTCTTTCAAGCCCAGGATAACTCCTGGAGGGCCCCAGCCGCAGACCGCCTTCAGGATGGCACAAGACGCTTCAGAACCGATGAACGTAGCCAAGAAACTCAACGGCCGCCGCACGTCGGCCCCGAATGGCCTCGGAGTCTCCCTAGACCGCCCCGAGATGTCAAATTCTGCCAAGCACCATGGAGTTGCGTTTTGTCTGATGGTTGGTATAGCGCCTGCTTGATTACCGATTTGCGCTCAGGTCTGAAACGTTGCCCCAGCATCGTCCAAGAGGGCCCAAAGAAGGGGGCAGACAGGCGCTCCTAAACGGCCCCAAGAGCGCTCCAAGACAAGAGGGGATTGTTTAAGCTCTGCCTGGGGTGGGGGTGCGGGGAAACGTTGGCGGCTGCGACACAGCGCCGATGTATCCCCGATAGGTCCGCATCGGCGACCAATAGTTGATCGGGGGTCGACGCGTTCCCTCCTGAGCATCTGCCTCCCCTGACGTTGCCCCTGACCCTCCGCTGCCTGCCTGGCCTTCCCACACGAGCCTCCAGCGGCCGCTCAAGACGCTTCCTGCACACCCGCAACCGCTCCCGACGAGGCGCAACAGATGGACCCCCCGCCCTGGGCACCGAAAACTCACGAACACTTACAAGAGAATCCCTGAGCCTGCGCATCCCCCACCCCCCACAGCCCTGGTGTCGTGTTCATGTCACGACGTGGACCACCAAAGGTCTCGACCCATTCCCCAAGACCGGCTTCAGGTCCCGAATCGTTCGCTGACGGTCTTGATGCCCGGCGAGAGCTCCCAGAGGCCGCACACAGCCAAACACTTCACGACCCGAGGGGGTCTGACCCTGAGGTGCAATACCGCTGAAAGGGGGGGCATCGCCGCCGTCGTCGCAGCCGCCGCCGTGACCGCCAACCCGCAGCTGGGCGTCCTCGGCCCGGTCGCAGGGGCCGCGCCGCGCGTGCGCAGGCCGAGGCCGCCGCCGAGCTGCAGGCGGGCCGCGGCGAGGAGCGCCAGGAGGCACAGGCCCGCGGCGGCGGCGAGGGGCTTCCGCGGCGGCGACGGCCGCGCTGCGAGGGGTGGGTGGGTGGGGGGGGGCGATGGCGACGGGGACGTTCGGGGAGAGAGTCAGAGAGAGAAACCAGCCCGTGGGGAGGCGAATGGTCGCCTGTCCCGGCGGTGCGCCGGGGCGGAAGCCTCAATGCAGCTTCCAGGGCAGGGTGGCGAAATACAGGACGATGTGTCCGTACTTCTGCCCAGCGTCTGCGCTACCCTTCGGAGGCATCTGTTGTGAGGGGGCTGTTTGCCGGGCAGTGATGGACGGCATGCGCGGTCGCAGGCGCCTGGCGCGGAGCCCTCGAAGTGGGGACCCTGGGAAGCTGCGCGACGGCCGCGCTGCGAGGGGGGGGGCACAGGAGAAGCGTGGACCACCTCCACCGAGACCCCATCGGTAGGGAGCCGACCCCTGGGCGGGCGGTGGCACGGCCGAGCGTCACCTCCCACAGAACGACGCTCAGGCGTGCCACCGCCCAGGAGTCGGTCTGGAATCGGCGATGCATCGCCGATAAATCGGCGACAGGCCTCCGATGGCGAATCCGCAAGTTCCTGGGAGATTGGGGCTATCGGGCCTCCGTCGGCGATGCATGGGCGATCGGGGATCGATGCGTTGCCTCCTGAGCCTTTGCACCCGCTAACGTTGCCCCTGACCTTCCGCAACCCCTGGGCCTTTCTCCCCTGGTCGATGCATCCTGCTCTGTGCCTATCTCCCCCTGACGTTGCCCCTGACCATGCCACCCGCACACTCCCCCTTCTTACCTCTTCGGTACGCTCAGAAACCACCACCACCACCATTGAGCCAAGCGTCCGGAGGAACGCGTGGGCAGAAGAGTGCGCGATTGGCAACTTTCCAAGAGAAGACGGCAGAAAAGGCACTGCAGAGCGACTGCGTGCACGCACAGACTCGACTGTGAAGCAAAAGCGAAAGTCCTCACGGCTGAGCATTCAACGTTTTGAAAGCACGAGCGGCAAGACATGTCGACAAATCACACATGGCTCAAAGGGAGGCAGCCGCACCTCCGAAGACCGTCCACAGCGCGTACCCTATCAGGGCCGCCAACACTCCAGGGAGCAGTGGAATTACCACATCGATGCACTCCACGATCGAAGCCGCCAGCACCGCCTTGAGAGTGCGGTAGGCGCGCAAGAAGATATCTGGCCTTGCCATTGGGAACTGGAAACGCGCGCAATCTCGAGCTCTGACCAGGCCCATCCCAAGCCCTGCAATAAGGTGTTGGCCCTCTTTCTTGACACGGGGGGGCATGTGCACTAATCCCCAGCCATGCGAGGCCATCATTGTTTCAATGCGCGGGCCTCGGAACTCTCGACCACCTCACCAGGAACTCGCTTCTCACCCTGAAGCGCTCCTGCTGGCCCCCAGGAACTGCCCCCTGGTCGAACCCTGCCAGAAAAACCTGCACCCTGATTCTTCCGATCCTTGGGGGTCTGGGTCCCAGGCACATCTGGGCCCGACGAGGGGTACTGGTGGTGTGCGGCGCGCACGGGGGAAAGGGACGTCTTTCTCTCAGGGTGCGCGGCCGACCCAAACATGTAGTATACCCATCTTGTAGTGTATCGTTTCTCGAGTGGTGTGGCCAGAAAGCGCCCGCCACGACGCATATACTATAATAAGATGTCTCGGTGCGCGCATCGCCCCTGGGGGGGCGATACACATATAATAGAAGTATGTTGGGGTGACGCCGACAGGATGCTCCTCGATGGTCCTCACCGGGAACAAAATGCACACGTCCGAGCGATGCCAAGCTTCCCGAACGTCCTCGAACCTCGACTGCCCTCGCGGCCCTCTGCGGAGGAGGGAGAGGTCCCCCGAGGTCCCCCGGGGGGCGGAGCGCCTCCGCTCCCCGACCCGCAGGCGTCGCGTCCTGCCGCTTCTCCCTCCCCTTGCCGCGCCTTCCTCCGCCTCCACGCTCCTGCCCTCCTCCGCCTCCACGCTCCCTGCTCCGCCTTGCTCCTTGCTCCTCCTTGCATCCTTGATCCTCCTTGCTCCTTGCTCCCTACCCCTCCATGCGCCTCCCTGCTCCCTGCTCCTCCTTCCTCCTCCTTGTTCCTCATTCCCTGCTTCTTCTCCTCCTTCTCCTCCTCCTCCTCCTCCGCCTCGTCTCACCACCAGACTTGTCGGCAGGGTGGCCTGGGCGCTTCGCCTGAGACTTACTCCCCGTTGGATGACCCCGAGGCCTGAACTTCCAAGTGGTTGAACACAGGGGCGGGGTGGCTGTCACAATGCGCCTTTCGCCGCAGTGCCGCACGCACACACACACACAGACACACACACAGACACACACACACACACCACACACACACACACACACACACACCACACACACACACACACCACACACACCCCACACCCACACACACACACAACGGAAACGCCGAAAACTGTGCGGATGGAGGGGTGGGGGTCTCAAGCTGTGGCCCTCGCTGTAGCGCCGAGCAGATTCGCCCCTAAGGGGTCGCACAGTTGCGCGAACGGATGGGCTGTGTATCTCACAAAATGTGGCTCTCGCCTTCTCGCCGCGCACATTCGCCCTACGCCGCGCACGCGTGCCCGACAATCTTCCGAACATGTCATTGATAGGGGGCCGGGGCGTCAACGCACGGCTCTCGCCATCACGCCGCGGACATTCGTCTTGAAAACGCTTCCGGCGGCTGCGTGGACGGAGGGCAGCTCCTTTCCAGTTCGAAGCCATCGCGTTCATGCCCACAAGCGTTGACCGTCGAGGAGCACGTGCACGGCCTGTGGGCGGTACGTGTTCCAAGCGGGGCTCGCGCTGGGCACTTCCTCGGCCGTTTATGGTTCCATATCGTCGCAGCCCCCGAAGCTAGAAGCATGGATGGAAGAGCCTTGAAAAGCATGGCTCTCGCCTGGGGCGCTCGTCGCTCATGGGGCTTATTGCTGCAATGTATTAAGGGGAGGTTTGGTACGGGTTGGCGCATTGAAGCAGCCTTGGTGCAGTTTGAGTTTACTTGGGTTTGTCCTCCTGCTCCTCCTCCTCGTCCCTCCTCCTGCTAGCCCTCCTTCTCCTCCTCTCCCTCCGCCTCCTCCTCCCTCTTCCTGCTTCAACTGGCTCTATGGATCATCCTCGCTCCTTGTGCTCGTCCCCAGTCTCCTCCTCATCCATCCTGCTGCTCCCTTTTGGTCTCCTCTTTCCTGCTCCTTCCCCTCCATGTATCCCTCTCAGTATCGTAACCCTGCCCGACCTCTTGGTATCCTCTAGATAAGCAAAACCCAGTGACGCCCCGCACATGGTACCTCACACGCTCCTCGTCCTCCCCCGCGTCCTGCTCTTCTTCCCGTATCCCACCCCTCTTCCCCCATGCAGCTGCTCATATGTGTTTATGCCTCCTTCCTCCTCCTCCTCCTCCTCCTCCTCCTCCTCCTCCTCCTCCTCCTACCTGCTCATGCGACTAATCCTCCTTCATTGCGGCTCATCTGTTCTCTGTCCTGCTCATCCTACTCATCCCTTCTTCCTACCTCCTCACTTCTCCTCAATCTTCACTCATCATTCCTCCTCCTCCTCCTCCTCCTCCTCCTCCTCCTCCACGTCCTCCTTCTGGTGCTCCCCCTGCACAAGATTCATCATCCTCATCTTCAACATTCTGCTCACTGGTGCTGCTGATCGTACTTGCCTTCCCCATCCTCACCCTCCTGTTTAAGCTCTCTCCTGCTCCTGCTATTCCTCCTGGTATCCTAGTCCCTGCTGCCCCGTCCTTACCTGACTCGCTTCCACCACTCACCACTCAAGCTCCTACTCACTCCTTTTCCCCCTCCCAACCCTGATCCTCCTGCCCTTCTCTTCTGCTCCTCCCCCAGGGGGCTCCTAGAAACATCCGCATGCACCCCCGCCTGAATGCCTTCTCCCCTCCCCTCCATCCTCCCCTCCCCTCCCTTCGGCTACTTGCAAGAGTGACCCTGGGCAAGAGTGACCCCTGGTGCGCGGCTTTAGGGGGCCACGGGGGGCTCACAAATCCAAGCGCGCGGTCCAATGCTCCGGGTGCCCCTGTGGGCCCGCACCGAACGTCGCTCTGGCGAAAGGTCACTCTTGCGCGCAACCGATCTCTCCCTCCCTCTCCCCCTCCGCGTCCCGCGCGCGCTAATTACCCGCGCGCGCCGAGGGCCGAGGCCTCTGGGACCGAGGCTAGAGGATCCGAGGATCGAGGGCCCCGGGGATCGACGGGCCGAGCATCGAGACCAGGGCATCGAAGGACACGAGGCTCGCGGATCGACGATCGAGAACGTCTGCGAGGCTCCGAGGACTTCCAACGGGGGGGGGCGGAGCCCTCCGGCGGCGAAGCCAGCCGCACTGGCCAACCGCTTCTGCCAATCCTCCGCCGCCGCGGGCGCCGCGGCCGCCGCGAATCCTGCGGGCGCCCCCTCCCGCCGCGCGAGGGCCAGGGACTGTGGGGCCGTCGTGCGCTGCGGCTCCTGCACGGCGGCCTGTGGACGACTCCCACACGGTGTCCCGAAAGATTGGGTCGGGAACCCGCGCCGCATCGACGACGCAACGCCGATGCATCGGCGACGTCGGCGATGCATCGGCGTCGTCGGCATGAAGAAAACGATGCCCCACACCGAGCCGCAACGCCGATGTACTCCATCTACTCCACCCTCATTTGGGAGGCCTGGAGCCAGGCAGGTATGGCAGGGCGTGGCCCGTGCCCTGGGCAGCTCCTGCGGCGACTCGGCATGCCTAAGGCTTTACAGAACTAAAAAAACGGACCGCGAAGCGTAAACTAAGGCACCGCTGGAAAAACAACATGTTCACGCTTCGCGTCGCCTCACCAGCCCGTTGCGAAATCCTGCCCATGAGAGCTGGGTGGGAAAAGGACGAAGGGACACATATAGTAAAACAAAGCGGGCAGCCATGATGAGCAGAGAGATCTCCTGAAGAAAGGGTGTGGCCTTGAAGGACCTCTGCGGGCCATCTCTGGAGGGGGGGGGTCTCCTCTATTTTCCTTCCTCCCGTCGGGCCACCAAACTCGCCTCTTGGGGCGCTCTTGGGGCGCTCTTGGGCCGATCTGGGGCGATCTGAGGGCCGCTCGGAGCGCCCCTCGGGCCCCTCTTGGGGCTCTCCTGGGGCTCTCTTGAGCCATCTTGGGGCAATCTTGAGACTTCGAATCGAAGCGCGTAGGAAGCGACAGGGCGAGAAACCACTGATCATTGTTTGTCCTTGGGTCTTTGAAAGATATGTTGGCCTCTCGAGGGGGTCCCGAAGGGGCTCCGAGAGCACATGGAACCGACTTGTGGCCCTCGTCTGGCCTCTTGGAGGTATGTCGGAAGCTAGATTTAACTATCTAAGGCTGCCTTGGAGGCCATCTTGGAGCAACGGATACCCTCTTGAAGCCATCGTGGGCCATTGTGGGCGCCCTGACTGTTCGCGACCCCCCCAACAAACAGCCGCAGGGAGGGGAGGGGACGGCACCCGTCCCCGAAGGGACGAGGGCTCTGGAAAAAGGACGAATACCTACGCGCAGAGGGCTGGTTGGACCAACGGACCGCTGTTGTGTCCGAAGGAGCCGACATTTCCCGAGAACTAACGGGCGGGTCCGCTCGGGCGGGACCTTGACGAACGGGCGGGCCGGGCAGGCGGACCCTTAGAATACCAGGCGGGCCGGGCGGGCGAGCCATGAACGCGGGCGGGCGGCCTTCGCATCAGACGAACTTGTGGGTTTGCTGGGCAGGCTGGTCGGGCGGACACTGGTGGGCGGGTTGGGCGGGCGGGTGCCAAACGGGCGGGCGGTGCGGGCCCAAACGGGCGCGGGCGGGCCATCTGGCGGTGGAATACCAACATTGATCTATCGATGTTTGTCTCTCCTCTTCCACAACCCCTCTTCCCTTCGGGGAAGGGTGCCCCCCCCCCGTCCCTCACGGGGTTCTGTGGGGGGCCACGGGCGGTCAGGGCGCTGAGGATGGCCCAATACGGCTCCAAAAAGGCCTCCGATGCTCCAAGATAGCCTCCAAGATGGCCCAATCTTCCAACTCTTTCTGACGCCGAATCGATGTTGGTGCTGCGATCTGTCGGAGAGGAGCCTGGGAATGTTGGTGCCGCGCCTTCTCCGGCCCGATATCGGCGGTGTTCGTAGCGCGGCTGCAGCAGTTCCAAGATCCGCGCGTTGTGTGTCCGCCTACCTGTGGTTCTCTCTCGCAATTCGTGTAATCCATGTGATATCCGAAAATGGTTCAAGATACCTTCTGGCATGCCGGCAAACCTCGCAGATGCCAGGCGAGAGCCACAAGACGGTTTCATGTGCTCCCAGAATCCCCATAACGACCACCCCCCCAAAGGCCAACATCCATCACAAACCCACGGGATGCATGAGTTCGTGGCTTCTCGCTGATTCGTTTCCGATGCCATTTGGGGCCTCATACTGCCCCGATATGGCCCAAGAGAGCTCCGACAGGGGCCAAAGAGGCCCCGCAGAAGGCCCCAACAGCGCCCCAAGAGGCGATTCTGATGGCTCAAGAAAACGAAATCGAAGACACCCCCATCCATTCATCGACGCCCTACAAGATGGCCCCAAGAGGCCTTACAGGCCCCCATAAAGTGGCCCCCCGAAAGCCAAAAGAATGCCCCAAGAGGATTTGGGTCCCAGGAGCGCCCCGAAAGCGTCCCACGAGGACCCCGACAGGCGGCTTGCCTCCTCCTCCTTTTTTCACCCTTCCAGGAGCCCCGAACATGGCCCGAAGAAACCCTCTAAGGCCACGCCACTGCTCCCAAATATCTCTTCGTTCATCATGGTTGCCCGCTCTATTTCACTGTGCGTGCCCTCGTCGTTTTTTCCCGTCGGCTCTCACGGGCAAGGTTTCCGAACGGGCTGGGCCGGCGGGATACTTTTTGGCACGCGGGCGCGCGAAGCGAGTCGAACGCCGCGCAAGCATGGGCAGGCCTTGCCACAAGCTAATGGGGGAAAAAAAAACAAAAACAAAAAAAACGTTGAGCAACGCCACGCGCATAGCGGGACGAAGTTCAGAGCAACCACGCTGGCGCGGACGGCATCACGAAGCGGCACCGGCGGGATCCTTTTTGGTCCACGGGCGCGCGAAGACGAGTCGAACGCCGAGCATGCTGGGGCGGGCCGCGCTTCGTAGCCAAGGGGGAACAAAAAGGCAGGCGGTATCCAGCGGGCGGAAAGAAGTGCAGCAGCACCGCCCGGCCCGCAAGCAGCCGCCAGAAGAGCGTGCCGAAGACGAATAGCACGAAGACCAAGGGCGGATCCACCCTTGCCGAACGAGAAGAACTTGAAGCGCCCCGAGAACACCAGGCGAGGGGTGTACGTAGCCAAACTGGCGTGTCAAAACCGAAACGCGGGGGAAGAGGTGGTACACCTTGCCGCACGGTTGAACTTCACCGTGCACGAGCACAAAGAGTGGGGACGCAGCCAAAATGGCGCGGGAGACGGCCCCTCGGCGGCCATGGTATGCGGGTAGCGGTGCCGCGCCATGAAGGTCGGAGAAAACGCGTTCGTCGCAACCCCAGGGTCGACAAGAACGATATGGTCGTACATGTAGGACCGTGGGCCACACATGACCAACGTCGGCAGGTCATCCGAGTAGACGCGATCGGCGCATACCCGAACGCGGGAGACACGGACAAACCTTGTCGCACACATCGGGCAACAAGCCAACCGTCACGACCAGCGCCGTGCGCCCCGCGCGCACGGAACTGGAAACTGAAAGCGACCGGCACAAAGGGGGTCGTGCAAGTGAGCGCCGCCCATCAGGCAACCCGAAGTGGAGCGGCGGGTGGCCAAGCGGAGGCCGGCACCCGCAAATGAATGCTCGGGGGACCGTGACGCCTTGGGCGAAGGGGGGCCACTGGCATGGACGGGGGCTCGTTCGTCCAGCCCACCGACATGAACCCTGGCGGCCACCACGTGGTGGGACAGACGGGCGCGAAACCCCAAGGGAGCAGGTGACGCACTAGCCGGACCATGTCCACACAAGGGTACATAGGAAGCAGCTGATCGCTGCCACCACTCGGAACGCCTCGGCGAAGGAATACCCGAGGTAAGCAGCTGATCGCTGCAAACATTCGGAGATCCTCGACAGACGAATACCCAAGGTACGCAGGAAACAAATCAATTCGACGGAATGGATGACGTCGTCAGAGGGATACCCAAGGTAGAACTGGCAGCTGATCGCTGAAGAAACACAGTGGACCTCGGCAGAGGTCTACCCAAGGTGAATTCCCGTCGAAGCGGGCTAACGTGGAGGAGGTGTCGGCAGGACCCCAGGGAAGAGGAGAAAGGGGGAGGGGAAGGCAGGTGATCGCTGCAAGCTGATCGGCGGGGGTATTTTTAAAATCGCAACCGCAGGCGGAAGCGCCAGCGGCGAGTCGAGCCAGCTCGGGCTACGAGCGGAGCTAATTGCAGGCGCGCGCAGGTAACAGCAGAACCTACCGCCGGGGGAAGCAGCTGCGCCGAGGGCCGTGCTGCAACCGCCGAGGCTGAGAAACAGCGCCGGGGGTCGGGACTGCAAGCTGCTGGGGCTGCCAGGAGGCTGCAAACGTGCGGGTACCCCAGGGCCTGGATCACCAGGTACGTGAAGGCGGGGATAGTTTCGCGAGGCGTGAATCATTTCCGAAGACGAACCTGCGGACACTGACGGGCGCTTCGGTCGGACAGACCCTAACGGGCGGGCAAGGCGGGCGAATCGAACCCTAATTGACGGGTCGGGCGGGCGGAACAATGGCGGGCGGGCAGGGCGGGCGGACCTTCAGAGGCAGGTCGGGCGGGCGGAACCCTGATGAGCAAGCGGATCGGGTTGGCGTGCCAAAGTCGGGTCGGGCGGACCCTAGCGGGCGGGACGGGCGAGCGGGACCGGAAAGCGGGCGGGCGGCCTTGTCCGCTAACGCACCTGCGGGCCCTGGTGGGCAGGCCGGAAAGAGGACGACCCAGCCGGTGAATGACGACGACCGCCGACGACCTCGCGACGCCAGTGCGCCCACGACAACGACCGACGACCGACGACCGCGCAGGCGGCCGCGGGCGCAGGCGGCCGCGGGCGAAGCCGACCGGTCCCCCGCTCGGCACCAAAGGCCCGAGCCCGCGGGGTCCCGCGGGCCGGGCGAGCAGCGCCGCGGCGCCGAGCAGCGCCGGCGCGAGCCGCAGGAGGGCGCGCAGCGCCGGGGCCGCAGGGCGTCTCCGCGGCGGCGCCGGGGGTCCCGCCATCTCCGCCGCCTGCGCGCAGCGAGGAGGGACCCTTGGGACCCGGGCGTCGCAGTGTGTGTTCGCGCCTGGCGAGCTGGCCGAGGTCCGGGCCCGGGAGCCCTCGCGGAGCGCTCCGGCTCGAACTGCGCCGCAGAAAGACAAGGTCCAGGGCTCTGGTCGTGGTCTCAATATTGATTGCCTTTGTTCTTGACGTCGGATCTCAGGGGAGGAGGAAGAGGAGGAGGAGGAAGAGGAAGAGGAGGAGGACCAGGGTTAACCCAAGGGTCACCAACGATGTCGGAATAAGCCCTCCCCCCAAGCTCCCTCTTCATAGGCACCTACAGCGGTTCATTTCCACAGCCTCGTTCAGAGACATCCGTTTGAAGTCCCTGAAGCATGCCAAAACATTGTTATCGGTATTACGCCACGGATCAACTTACCCTTTGCAGCTAGACGAAAAATAATGTGCGCGGCGCTAAGGCGAGAACCACATTTTGAAAACCACCCGCCCTCCATCTGTGAAGCTGTTGCCAATGTGTGAGCTGCAGGGTCACAAATGGTGAGGTCTCAGGCGAAACGCCCAGCCCGCCATGAAAACTGGCCTCGGGGTGCGACAGGGAGAAGTGATCTATAAGGAGGAGGAGGGACGTGGAGGAGGAGGAGGAGGAGGAGGAGGAGGAGGAGGAGGAGGAGGAGGGAGGGAGGAAGGGAGGGACGGAGGAGGAGACAGAGGAGGAACAGGAGAATGAGGCGGTTCCTCCGTCGAGGACCATCGATCCGCTCCGACAGCCGAGGGGTACCCTCAGAGGGCAGCTGTACAC